CGAGTATTTGGCTGCGAAGCATATGCTCATGTGCCAAAGGACGAGAGAAAGAAACTCGAATCGAAAGCTAGAAAGTGTATTCTCCTTGGTTATGGCGCCGAAACGAAGGGTTATGTCTTTATGATCCAAAACGTGCTAGAGTCTTTCACAGTCGCGATGTTAAGTTCAACGAATCGTCACAAGGAACTGAAGTTGTGAAAGAACAAGGGCCAAATCAAAACACGTATGTGGAACTTGATTTTCCCGAGTTTGAAGAACCCATTGCTGATGAAGAGTCGGTCGTAAACGAAGTGCCTGAGCCTCAAAGTTCAAGGAGATTAGAAAGAGATCGAAGGCCACCTGCCTACGATGGGGAATGGGCAACAGCTGCAAGTTATGATCAAAACGAGCCAGGAACTGTGAAAGAGGCTTTCACAAGTCCACAAAAGGCGAAGTGGGTAAAAGCAATGGAAAAAGAAATGGAATCACTTAAAACTAACGAAGTGTGGGATTTAGTTGAACTACCCAAGAATCGTAAAGCAGTTGGCAGTAAGTGAGTATTTCGAGTCAAAACCGATGCGAATGGAATAATTGAAACACACAAAGCTGGACTCGTAGCTCAAGGTTTTAGTCAAACCTTTGGCGATGACTGTGATGAAACATTTTCACCTGTAGCTAGGTTTGAATCAGTTCGAACAGTTATCGCTTTAGCTGCACAGCACAGTTTAAAGCTTCATCAAATGAATGTTACAACGGCGTTTCTAAATGGAGATCTCAAAGAAGAAGTCTACATGAAACAACCTGAAGGTTTCGTTGAGAAAGGAAAAGAACACCTAGTCTGCAGGTTACGTCGAAGCATCTACGGTCTTAAACAGTCTCCACGTTGCTGGAACTCTGTTCTTGACAGGAAACTGAAGAGTATGGGCTTTGTGCAAACCATCAATGATCCATGCATCTACGTAAAGGAAGAAGACGGAGATATATTTATTATTGCTGTGTACGATGATGATATGATCCTGGCCGGAAAAAAATGATCAGAAAATCAACGAAGTGAAGCAAGTACTCGCTAAACTATTTCAAATGAAAGTTATGGGAAAATTACACTATTTCCTGGGTGTCAAAGTTGTCCAGAAACCAGATTTAAAAGAGGTTTGGATTGGTCAAGAAGCGTACACAAAGAGTGTGTTAGAAAAGTTTGGCATGGAGTGTTCGAAACCAGTGAACACACCTGTTAACCCTAGGAAAAAACTGAAGAAGGCAGCAGACGACAGTCCACGAGTCGACCAAGTCAACTACCAGTGTGCTGTTGGGCATCTACTTTATCTGTCTACGAAGACAAGACCTGATATCGCGTATGCTGTGAGTGATGTAGCGAGGTTCAGTGCAGATCCAACGGAGGAGCACTGGGCAGCCGTTAAGCGTATCATGCGTTACCTGAATGGAACTTGAGATTTAGGTCTACTCTATGATGGAAGCAAGATAACTTCGTGTGTTGGATATTCCGACGCTGATTGGGCTGGAGATCTTAATGATAGAAAGTCGACGTCTTTCTGATCAGCAACGCAGCTTTCAGTTGGCGGAGCAAGAAACAGTCGTGTGTGGCTCTCTCGACTGCCGAAGCAGAATACATGGCATTGGCAAGTGCAACTCAAGAAGCAGTTTGGCTTAGACAACTTCTAAGTGATCTCAAGAGCAAGCCAACTGGTCCAACGTTGATACTTGAAGACAATAAAGCAGCAATCTGCATGGCAAAGAATGCACAGTACCATGGTCGTGCAAAACATATTGATATAAAGTATCATTTCATTCGTGAACATGTTGTTAATACTGCAGTTAAATTAGAATACTGCAGCACTGAAGAAATGATCGCTGACATTTTTACAAAAGGACTCGGTGCGGTTCAGTTTATCAAACTTAGAAAGATGCTTGGAGTTAGTTAAATGGACTATAACATGTGAACATATAGTTATACGAGTGAGGAGGAGAATTGAAAATATTATACACTAGTAAACTTTATTTAAGAAAAACATTATGGACTTCCGGTTTTCTGTTAAGAGAGGTCGCATGGCAATAGGGCGAGGCTTGTATGTTTTTGAAAGGCTGAACAGTTAAACTTTGAGTTGTTGATAGTATTGATATTTTTCTTCCTTTTTTATACTTTTAAAATAAAACTATTTAAAAGTTTAAGTGCAGGATATTCCTGTAGCACATCTGTGACAACTCCGTTAATTATCTGCTGGCGCCTGTATGGGTAGGTCAGCTGCATCAACTCTTTGATAACGCTTGCATTCCTTTTTGATTTTGCCATCTCTGCTTTCATATGCTTTGTATGTTCCTTGCAAGTCTCTTCAGTTTCCCCAACAGCTAGCTCAGTGGAATGTCATCCACTTTGCGCTTTTTCAGCATTTGGTCTTGTATAAACCTTGCTGGCTGCCCCTGGTTCTTGACAGCAGGAGTCCGAGGTTTCCTTCTCATGTTTTTGAACCTATTATGGATTGCCATTGACCGAGAACCCTATTTTGTAAATTATGATTAGACCATATGAATTAATAAGATTCACTATTGTTGACAGCATAGAACAGAACCACATTAATACCCTAGTACCACTGAAGATTAAGGAAATAATACTTACAATGCCTGCTCCAAGTGAATCAACCAGGAAGGGGTATGCCTCATTTATCATGAATGCCACTTTATCCTATTGCTCTTTGGTTGGGTACATTGTGTGCTGCTTAATTGCATCACAGCACTCCCTGGTGAGGTTATCTCTCAGTTTTCTTGTTAATTTCCCTAACTTAATTCAACTCCTCATTTACAGCAGGAGAAAACTGTAAAGAGAATAGAATAGAATAAACCCATTAAGTGCCAGAGCTTCGACAAATGCTTATTATTTATATCCATCAGTGAGTCCATATACTACAATAAATGTTTTTAGCATAATTATAAAGATTAATACTGAAGATAGGTACTACATACTGACTTAATTCAATCAAAATATTCAATAAATACATGAAATGATTTACATACTATAGAAGGAAGTTTAAACTCTCTTATCCAGTTAACATTTGCAAGTTTTTTCTCTTTAATTGCAAAGCCTGGGATAGATAGTGGAGAAGCTGTCTTTGCCATGGGTGTGGTGGGTTTAACAGGGGTGTATGGGATGCCCTCGGGGAACAGGTGGGTGTTTTCAAATTGCTTAGAGTACTGGTGGGTGGGTGGAAAGTGCTCAGGGCACTGGTGGGGGTTCTTGTTGTTTTGGAAGAACTTGGGGGTAACAGGAGGCCTACTGGAACATGTTTCTAATTCCTTGGGCAAATCAGGTGTCTTTGGGGCTATAGGCATAACGCTTTCGACCCGGTCATGCAAAAATAACTCACATTTAGTGTTGGTAAAATTATGTTTAGAGGTACCAAAGAAATGTCAGAAGTGTCTGACTAGCTAGTCATTGAGACAGAAACACTATTGTCAAACCCCTTGTTTGTCCATTACAAAAAAGCAGGACTAAATCAAATTAAAATATCAGATAAAATCAAATATACAGTATAACATAGGCCTATTTTTTTCGGGAGTATGATATTAAATGTTGTATTGTTATAAAAACTAAAGGCTGTGTTGTAACAAATGGTTTATAGAAAATTGAGACGTGGAGTTTTTGGGTATGAAACTTTAATGTTAGACTGTAAGGTAAGATTAGATCGCCGAGGATTGCAGAATGGGTTAGTAATTATAGTCGTCAGAATCAATGTCTGAAATGTCAAAATTCAAGAGATGAAGTTTGCGTTCGGGCAATCACTGAAGGCGATGTTGAAATATCGCACTAAAATTGTTATAGCATGCTGCACCAGTCGAGTTTTGTGGGTTACGTTTGGTTCTAATTGCTTATATGACCATGCATACGACTCGCTTTATGTGGGGTCCCCATTTTCCCGTACTTGTCGTTAATGCGTCAAGGTGGCTGATGTAATCGAATGTTTCTGTGCATATGTGCAGTCAACAATGACAAAATTTCAAATTTCGAGTTATTATAATTATTCATTTCTTTAGAGATGAAGGCCTGTTTTCCACTTCAACCATATCGTAGCGTAATTGGGTATTTATTTCTTTCCGAAGTATTCGATCAGAACTAATGACTTTCAAGTAATGAGATACGCTACGTTTTGCCACGATACGGTTGAAGTGGAAAACGGTCTTAATTGTTTTCACAGTCAATAAACACCAAAATATTAGCATAGCTTGACAAAATGGTGGTAGAATTCATTGGGACATTGCATCTTTTTCTTCATCCTGTCATTAATATTTTGTAATATATTGTGACAAATTTTATTAAACTAAACTAATTAAACTAATCTAAAATAGCCAGGCTGGCTACGCTACTGTTTGTAATTATACATTAAATATATATACATAATATATGTGAAAATAGATCGAATTCATATCGTATGAAGCTAATTTTAAAAGGCAACTAATAAATTAAATCATATGTTTGGTAATTTTAAGCCCAGCTCTTTAAAGCTTTTAATATAGATTTGTGAAGCTTTAAAGCTTCGCACAAATCGTAGTAAAGTTTTGAGATGGAAAATTTTTGGTTTCGAATGAACTGATTGAAAGGGAATTCTCTCTAGCGCCACTCTAGTTTTCAGCCACTTCTAGTTGTCTCTTTCCCGCTCTTTTTGATAGGTTTTGTTGTTATATATAGAGATAAAAATCAAAATAATAAAAGATTTGAAATTTGAAGTGTTTTTAATCATGACTAATTCAACATTTTATTAAAATTGCATGAGCTCTCTATTCATGCTTTAAGAAATTAAACTTCGTGCATTTCAAAAAGCTTATTTCTATATGCAGTATAAATTTATCGTAAGTTTATTGCATCGTAAATTTCGATAAGCCTTCGTAGCATCTTGTGCTATGAAAAAGCAAACAGCTGCATGTGCCAAATGCAAACTTGGTATATATGCATATGACATGCAATATCGCTAATTTGTATTTTTTGTTGTAATTAAACTTGCGGTAGTTGCACAAACATCGGACAATATATAGATACGATCAACCTTACATATACAGCAAATTGACGCAGTTTCAAGGTAAGATACTATGATAAAATCACGAATGTATAATAGTTAACTATAGCTATATGATTCAGGATGATCATTTATAACAGCTGTTTTCGATTGTGGCGTTTTTATTCTCAAGCACAGGTAAAATTTTAAACCGTTATTAATTATACAAAAACCCGCTTTAAAATAAGCAACAGAACTAATCTCGCCCTGGAAACATCTATTTATTGTGATTTTTTCCTTTATTATTCGAATGATCCTAAGGTGGGTTTACATATTACGTATCTATAGCCTATATAGAGAAACACATCCAAAAACATGAAAATTAGGCGTTTTCCTGCATGGGCAGGTGGCTTGGGTACAGAATGCATGTGATCTTGTTATTGTTATATTAGAGATATACGAGAGATAAGCCATTATCCATTATTCAGACTAAAAAGTTTCATGTTTGAATATTTCTTGATCTTTATAGAGTTCATTATAATGGCTGGCCTGAGGTTACTGACAGGTTTCTGTTTATTAACATTTCTGCAGATGAAGAATCATATCTCTCGAGGTTAGTAGCCACATAAAGATGTTAGTTTTCCTCGAATTTTCCGCTGCACAAAATGCGTACTCCAAAAGGACGTGTTTTTTGAAGTTGTTCTAGCGATATCTAATCGTAGTTACTGGCAACGTAATTACTGTACTATGGAATGATTGAAATCCTGACTGATATAATTTTTTCAATAGATCTTAATAAATCACTGAACTAACAGGTCTACGGCTACGCGCGTGTACATGTCGTACGGGTGGGTAGTACATAGAATTACAATGGTGACTTGTAGCGCTCCATTTGAGCTCTAGGTGATCAATACTTGCATTGTTGACCAATACATTTCCAGAAATTTGCGGACATTGTGATTTGCATAAATACTAATTTGCATTTAACTTTCAACAATAAAGGTCTTCAACTTTTACTATAAAATACATATAGCAAGGTACAACACTTAAAATTGCCGTTGCCCTGGATGTTGTCCACTGTTTGCCGACCTCTGGATCAGTCGTTTTGCAACGTTTTGACAATTGAATAACTTACCTTGGGCGTTTCTAAGTTCCGCGAACTGATTGCGTTCAACTGCGTATAACGATATTCGTATGGTCGAACTTCCTGATGAGACTGATAACATCTTTTAACGTGACTGCAGAAAAAATCCGGACCGTACAGGAAAATTTGTATCAGGAATACAAAAGACAATATCTTTAACAATATTACTTGGTATGTTACACGTCAATTCATTAACAATCCGAATCGAAATGTTCAGTATGAAGGAGAACGATTTTATAAGTTCCTTGAGAGAACACAGCCAAAATTTTGGGCAATAATATATTTTTTAATTTGGCAGACTGCAGAAATACCCAAGGTAAAAGATTCGGTTACCAAAATGTTTCTAAACAGCTGTTCTATCCATCAAGAGGTCGGCAAACAGTGCTTAAGTCTGTGGCTCTAACGTTACCGACAACATTTTATATATTTTTCACTAAATTTATTTTATAGTAAACTCGAAGGCCATTACGTAGGGTTCAAATTCAAATTAGTACACAGCCGTTTTGTCACCAATTTCTGGTAATGAATTATTTTTCAGGCGAAAGGACGTCGATAATATGGCACGATATCAGTGCATAGTTTGCTGCGTCTCGTCGACATATTAATAAGTTTAATAACCTGATATGGTTTTAGGGGCGTATCCTGATTGTAATTTTACAAATGGCTTTGGAGGCTGGATTAACCAGGAAATGCGTGATTGGGTCATTGTTAATTCAACAAAGACTGATTTGGGAATATTAACAGGAAGACAAGGTGAAGCATCACAGTTGATTCACAAATATTATTTTACGTTCACTAAATACGAAAGTGTTTTTTATAGAGATGGTATTTTTTCCAGGATGATTTGTAAGCTGTTTAAGCCAGTGCGTGATAATAGGGGAGCATCTCTTGTTACATTTGATCTAATTATTGATCAAATCAGTTGAAAGTAAGCACAATGGCCATGCAAGTAGCGGTTATCTACACGGCTAGGAACAAGCCGGCATGGATATTACCAGAAATTAGAGATAAAAGGACTGTTGCTTGTGAACTAATTTGCATTTTACCATACATATATATAAAGTACAAAAATACTTTGGTCAACGTTTTGGCCGTGTTCTCTCAATGAACTTATGACGTCGCTCACATGACATTCATTCAAATATTTCGATTCAAAGAATCGATAAATAGACCCCATGGGGACGAGGTTGTTGACCTGAAACATACAAAGAAATGTGGTTCAAAATGTTGTCTTCCATATTCTTGATATAAATTCTTCCGGACGGAAATGCAAATTAGTATTATATAAGAACATGTGCAAATCTCTGGCAATGAACAATGTCAGTGTCCTGCCAATTTTGTTCTCACTTGTCAACATTGAACAATATTGTTGAAAATGAACGGGCAGGGTGTAACGTTATTGTTCAATGTTGATAGCAAGTGCAATGATCGTTTTTAGGCGTGTATTGCTCTTCATGCTTTCAGCGCACAATAATCAAGAGCGACGTTTCGTGGCTCCTCAGTCCATGCAGAACTCAACATTCGTTGCCTCTCTATCAGTAAAATTTTTCTTCTTCTGCAAACGATTTTGAAAAATCCGTTTTGTCATCTCGGAAACTAATGTTTCTATAGGTGTTGGTGATAGTTTCGCAGTTACTGGCGATCACTCGAGATGGTTTGAGATGGCAAAGCTGTACAGCCCCAATATCACAGGCCCGGTCTGCATGAAGTTTTATTTTTACCTATATCAAACCAACAACGGATTTTTGAAAATACGGACAGTACGGGCAGGATCAACCTATGAACAAACTGTTTTCTCTCGCTATGGAAATCATAGCGACAAATGGAACCTTGCTCAGATTTACCTGAGTTTTTCTCCAACTGATGTTTATAAGGTATGCTATGATGCCATTACATTATGAGTTTTCATGAGTTATATTACTCCGAAGGTAAAACTAACATGCGAATTGCATCTATTGGTGATATTATAAGATAAAAATAATTTACTTCAACATGAACTGACAGCTAGAGGTCACGAAAAGGATGAAAGACAGTGGATTTACTTTGTTGCTTAGGTCGTCATTTCGGGAAAGAGTGATTATGGGAGTTCCAAGAGAATCGCTATAGATGATATAATATTCCAAAATCATACTTGCGATGAATTAACCAAAGGTAAACACTTACTGCTTTTCCGACTCTTGAGTGTGAACCTTCAAACTAAAGGTGATTTGCCATTACCGTCCGCTTAACCTGCGCGGGCGAAGCGGCTTTGGAAAATGTGCCCATACGACCGCTTCACCCGCGCGGGCAAAGCGACTGCAATGGTAAATTGCCTTCAAAAACTTCACTTTTTCTTACAGCTAATATCGACTTTAACTGCACTTTTGAAGCAGGCACTTGTGGATGGGATTTGATGAATGGTCTCTCAATTTCATTTTTTGATCGTGGTAAGATTTAGGGATCGCCAAAGATCGTTAAATGGGGGGGGGAGGCAAATATTCCAATATTCATGTTAGCAGACCGTAAAAACAATCAATTTCAAAAGGAACTAATAATGCTGAATGTGAATATATGAATATTAGCCATGCCTCTCCATTTAAAGATCTTCCACGGCCCCTGGATAAGATGGAATTATATGATAAGCGTGATATTAGCCAAAAAATTTATAATGAATCATGAAATCATGAATCATTAAACTATTCACGAAGCAATAATAATTATAATAATGATTAAATTAACATGCAATGGTATAATCAAATGAGGCTTACAGATATAAGTTGATATAAGAAAGTATGATCTTTAAAAACCTTTAACCATTTTATTTCAACCTTGTGAAATGAATGTGAAATAATGAATAATTAATCATATATAAATTCCAATCAAGTTGCGCATGCAGTATTTTGGTCTCATGTATACGCCTGTAATTCTCCATAAGGTCTAGTAATTCACATAATATTAAACTTAATACAACTTAATCAATAGTATTCATAACTTTGTTACACACATGCTCTAATATGCATTAAGCTTAATCTGTTAATTTCACAAGCAGGTACATTACGCACTTGTAAGACAATGGCCGCACGCCTACATATTAAGAAGCAATAGTTAATAGTAAACTAACAAATAACAGTCAGTTTGAGTTGACAGATTTGCATGGCATATTTATTTGGGATGTTTTGGGTAATAGACTTTAAATGTTTCCTCTGTTTTGGATACCTCGGGTGGATTAGACCTGACACCATAATTATTTATTTATGTATTCTTCTATGAGTGCATGCATGCAAACGCGAGGACGAGAGTTGAGAAGTGAGAGTTGACTAATTTGTACTATCTTGTATTTATTTTGTACAATTTTGCTGAGCCTGCTACTACAAAATGCAAACCGCTAGCTGTTTTGCAACTCTCATCAACTCCCACGACCGACCAAGTGAACACGAACTCTCATTGATTCTCGCCAAAATTTGAACCAGTTCAAAGTTGATGTGAGTTGATGAGAGTGCACGGCAGTGCATGGAATTTTGCGATGAAACACTAGCGAGAGTTGCAACTCTCATCAACTCTCATTCTCGTTTGACCGCGAATTAACATTCGAATTCATTTAGAATAACAGCCAACATCGTACTCAAGGTTTTTCTTAGTTTCGAAAATTTTTACAAATTCACATCTCTGAAAATGATAATTGCATTGTAAATTGGAAGGAAAGTTGCACAATGCAACAGCGCTTTAAAGGGCCCTGAGCCCCCTAACGCGGTAAATTTGAAAAAAGGTGACTGTGTCCTACCCCTCTTGATGAAGTCTTGGAGCCAAATACTCCATGCTTTAAAGTTATCATATTTTTTGTATCTCTAGATCTGAATCAGTCCGTTGTTGCACTCTATCAAGCGACGTTAAGCAGTCCACAAATATTTGAACGTGATTCCTGCTTCACATTTCAGTATTATGTAGCCAAATATGATACTATATTCACTAACGGTGGGATCTTTGTATTCATTAAGGATGCAAATAATAGACAAATGCTTCCAGTGTGGAGTAAGCGGGTGTATTACGATCGGGGGAAATGGCACACGATCCAGATTAGACTAAGGCATCAAGATGGTTTTGATCAGGTAAAATCTTCCCGGCATTGCATGCAGCAGCCATATTATATTCAAATAATGGAAACAAAGGAATGACGAGAATAAAACTCATTTTAGGTGGAAATACAGAGCGTTTCTTTTTTCGTGCATCTTGCGAATTTCTACATCATGTCGGAAGTATATTGCAATGATTTTGATGGTCAGTAAACCAAGCTGTATACCTCTGTAAAACGTTACCACATAGTTTGCGAACAAATCATGCTTCTGCATGTACTGACTATATAATAATGCGCTCGTATATGCAATTTTTATACTGCCGGTCTGTATACTCTGAGTCTCTAACTTCAGTGGAAAAGCTAGAAAGGGCTCAGATATTGAGCGTTAGGAGGTGTGATGCACCGACAAGGTTAAAAACGTCAACTTTTTCTTTTTAAATTCAGATCAAAAGACATTTTTCGTCTCCATCAAGAATGAACAACCACTAGAATACGTTATTTCTGAAGATGGCGTCTCTTGTGATAACTATCCAGCATCAGACTTCATTGCAAGCACAATCCCGAGCAAAGATTATCCTCAACCTATGTATTTGTTTGGAAGTGGATGGGAATGGCGGCAAACCACATTGAGACAGAGTAGGGCTGCTCTGGGAGATGATTTATATGGTTATTTCTATGTGAGCCTGACTCCGCGTGAAGACAGTTCTGCAATATATTTCAAGATAGAAAATGGATGGTATGGACAGTACATTTCAGAGTTAAGACCCACTCCGCTCGATGGAAACTGGACAGGAAGTGTTGTCTACGTGAAAGATCACCAAAGTCGTAGAGGTATTTTAAAATTAAACGAAGCTCTCATAGTTGGACGAGCGCTGGGGATGAGCTCAAAACCATGTTTTGAGCCTTAGCACGCGCACATATCACTTATGACATTAATCAACCTATTAACCTGCACATGCATATAAAATTGGATACGAACATTGAGATGAATAAATCTCAATGAATATTTTGAGGTTTATTTATCTAAATGGATACGAAAGACAAAATATCTCAATTTGCTTAAGGCTTTATTGCAATAGGTACTTTTTTGATAGACACTGTATAGAATTTTAACCCACTGACATCGATCAATTGGGTTGTTTTCGCTATTATTCAGATAATGGAAATTGTCCTCCTGGCTACCTCTCCCTTGGCAAAACTGACAAGTGTTTTTGGCTGATGTGCGATTATTCTTCCAATGTTGAATCTAGTTGTTCAGAGAAACTCGGGACTCTGGCATCACTTGACACAGTTAGCATAAGACGTGGTTCTGAATATCTGAAGTACATCAAAGCTGCAAGTGTTGAAATCAAACAGGTTTGCTTGCAAGGCGCTGTTACACTTTTCCTCGCAACTTGGAAGTTGCAAGGAATGTTGCATAGTGTAACACCCCCTTATTAAGCCGATTGACTCGCAAATATCCAAGGCCATGATTTCACGCAGTGACCGGGTATCCAGTAGGCGTGGCGGTTAGGCGTTTTGTAGAAATATACTCCGTTGACAACATACGCGTGGATACTAAATCCGAGTTATTGTTTTGTAACTAAAAAAAGCCATTCGGCAAATGCTCGACATGGATTAAAGGATTCACATATACGTCTCACTCTGCAAAGTCAGTCTTAAATTAATTCTATAACCAAAATTCCTACGATTTCTATCGGTATGCTAAAATAACTTTTCGACTTAGCGCGAATTTACGGAGCCAGAGGGTGTCACATTCCCTAATTCTCAAATTAGTCCCTCATTGTTGACTAGATATACATTTTGAACTCTACTTGTTAGGTTACAGTCGGTTTGACAAAATATGGCGATGGGTGGATTTGGAAGGACGGACGAGTTTATAATGACAGCGATGGTCTACTTAGCACGGATTACAACACAAAAGTATATTTTTCTTGGGAAGACAAAAATGGTGAATGGGTACTAAAAAGCGGTCAACCTGATGGCGTACGACTTCACCTCTGCGAAAAAATAGGAAGTAAGCAATGATGGAATAAGTTGAACATTTTGACATTTGATACTCTATTTTCAGAAAAGGATTATAGGCTGGATCTTCACATGCAGAAAAATAGTTCGTCTGCAAATTCTCTTTCGGATTGAGACTATTTTTTCTGCAAGTGGAAATCCGCCCTGAGTTGCAAAACTTTTCTTCTGTATTTGCAAAAAAATTCTTCTGTATTTGCAAAAAGCACTCGATTGTTTTATCTCCCTTTTGTTACAGAAAACATTGCGCACAAATCTGGATCAAATCAGTCAAGTACTTTCTCAAGATTCTCTTCAGGGTTTGCAGTCGATGGACTTCTTTCCACTTACAGCTCAACAAGACTACCTGAGAAAGTATAATGCTCTTGCGTTCTCTTATCACTATTGTAAAACACCAGTAAATGAGAATATTGCAGAATACCAATATGTTTTGATTTTTCCTTGAAGTCTTTAGCGAAGTTCAAGTGTCATTCTTTTCAACATAATGTTAGGATTGACTTTACGTTCTCGGGTATTTTAGAGCTCGCCAAAGTCTTGGTGGAAAGTCGAGCTTGGCAACAAAATGAAGATCTTCTTTGTGCAGATAACTTGGAACGCAGAACCAACGATTGGTATAATTACCGTCAGTTTAGAAAGAGACGATATTCTACCAAACTTTGTAAAGAAAGTGGAGATAGGTTGGAGAATTAGCTTTACATGCGAGCCACCATTACCTGCCCGTTACCTTAGGATTGAGAGAAAAAACGAAGCTCTAAAAATTTCAGAAGTGGACGTTATTGCCACAGGTAATTCGTGAAATAACTTGTGGATAGTTTTCATTAGGGGGTGGTAACAGATAATATATCCAGTGAACTTTCCAATCGGTATGAAAGGACAACCTTTTCAAACAAACCGTTCATTCCGGAAAATTTCTGGTTGGGCGGAATTTTGCTAATTTTACGTTATGATCACTACTGCCGTTTTTTTCCTGCAAAGTTCATTCACGAAATTCGTTTTCCATTTGAATTTGCTTTTACAAAAACCTGCATGACAAAGATTTTGAGGAGCCATTTTTTTCCCGCCAAAAGTGATGTTTTACCCTGGCGCATTGTCTTTTGTAACGTAAATTGATATTAGAGTTTAATATACTAGTAATATTAGACTTACTACGCGGCTACGCTCATATTTGGTACATCGACGATATTTTTCGCATACCTTTTTTCCTTTCACGTTACAGATTCAATCCTAAATGATATACGAGGTGTTAGGAGTTCTTCTTGGGAAAACCAGCAAGAAAAACTTATCAACGATCCTCGGTTCAATCTCGCGTCATCATTTAAAGTTTGGACGCAGTGGGACGAACAGAAGGTGTTGGAAGCCTACCTTTTGGTATGTTACCATTATTGTTACCATTATATGTACGTCATTAAGCCGATCCTCCACCGTCCCATGTGAAGATTTTCAAAAACCGCTTCGCCCGCGCGGGTAAAGCGGACGGTAATGTAAAACCGCCTTTACTGTGGTCAGGATCACACTGACGGCAGAGAGGGTTTAGTTCTAATCTAATGCAGGGGTTTCGTGCATTGCACTATATTATCATTCAGCATCTTATACTTGCACTATACGCACATAACTGTGTGTATGAATATATTACATGTATATTATTGAGTAATGATCAACTATGTAAATTTAAGAAATTTAAAGGGTCTTAATTTCGAGTGGTATTATACACACTTCAAATTCAAGCCAGGAACAGTAGATGGAAAAATGAGTCAACTATATAGGTCCTCCGGCAGGAATCGAACCTACGCTTTTGCGATGCCTGTGCAATGCTCTTGCCACTGAAAAAGAAAAAAGCGTATAAGTCCGATTCCTGCCGGAGGACCTATAGTTGACTTATTTTTGCATCAACTGTTCGTAGCTTGAATTTGAAGTGCATGTGTATAATACCACTCGAAATTAAGACTCTTTAAATCTCTAGAATATTCCTGCATCGAGTGAAGTGCCAGAAATCATACTTGATTTGCGTAAATTTAAGTTCCAGAATCAGTACGCACTCATGCATGCTGATACACGGCATCCTGTGCTTTTTTGAGTACCATCTCCTGGCTTTTGTGCAGCGGTAAAATTTCTGATTATAATTATAGTTGATTTTTAAAGCTTTTTTAATTTTTTAACAGGCCCCGTTTGATGGCGTGTACAACTTCACCGTTCATGGTGATACTGCAGCAAGATTAACTATTTCCCAACACAAACATTCAGATGATACCTTGTTGAAATATTCTTTCAATAATTCAGATGGGCAAAAGTATGATTAATTTTTATGAATAATTTTAATTATTCAGTCTAATTTTACTTCTTTATATAAATATATATAATGCCGGCAATTTTGTTTTTGCTGCTCACCGTATCTATATATAGGATATTAGCTACACGGTGGCGAGTAGATATGACATACGGAAACGTGACATACGGAAAATATTCACACTGTACCCCGGATGTAGTGCCGTATGAGTTCTACGATTGTTTTAGTTCTCAGTAAGATACCCCACCCCCTCCCCTCCCATGGTAATAAAATGAATAAATAATGCCAAAACCATACTCGTGGTTAACAAATCAACCTCCCCCGTAAGTGATTTTTATTGGCTATGAGCAAGAGTGCTGAGTGCAATTACAACCCGCAAAGAGTAAAATTAATAATGGTAATAGAACGAATAGGAGTGCAATTAATGCCAAAATCATACGAGTGATTACAAAATCAACCGACCGCGCAGCGGGAGGTTGATTTGTTAAGCACGAGTATGATTTGGCATTAATTGCACGACTTAATTCGTTCTATTACTTATTAATTATCCATCTTCTGTAATCAAAAATTCTGGTCATTTTCTTCAGCAAATATATCATTTAAAAGGTCAAAATTTTCAAAATCATTGTCAAATTCCTCCATTTTTAAAAATTTCGCGCCCTAAAAGAAAACAAATTCTTATTTTGATCCTGAATGCTGATTGGCTACTTGTAAAGCTATGCTGAATTTCATTGGCTGTGAACAAGAGTGCGATTACAGCTCACCAAGAGTGCGATTAATGATTAATCGCACTCCTGTAAACCAATCAAATTGAAGTATTTGACAGTGATTACAGAAGATGGATAATTAATTCTTAAATCGCACTCCTCTTAGCCAATGAAATTGCAGAATTGCCAAAGATTACAGAAGATATATAATTAATGAAATAATTATACCCCTCTTGACCAATCAGCATCCAGTAATTTTAGTGCGCTAGTGAAATTTTGCTTATCTCTCTCATAGGTATCCCCCGATGAAAAGATCCACAACTTTTATCTTAGAAGCTTGCAAGTTCTATTACGTGAATTTAACGACGTCTTACTCATTGTTTTCTAAGGAAATATCTCTTAGCATTGAACATAAAAACAGTTCAAATTGGATGCCAGTTGAAACGACAAATCTGTTCTGGGTACTACCAGGTATGTAAATATCATCATAGAAACCTCTGTTTGTCTAAAACTCCCAAATGACATTAGTAGCTACCAACAAAATATCTTTGAATTTTTACAGGTCAACTTCAAGTAAAATTATCAATGGACAACAACACAAAAAAGAGTGTTTTTCTAACTCACCCAATTGAACTCATAGGTAATAGAAGTATGAATATGAAAACGGCCACTGCCAGTGACTGCAGGGAAACGTAAAATGAATAGCAGTTTTTTCTAAGCAAAGGCCGTAAAGGCTGCTCTGAAGAAAGCAACCTTATTTACATGCACTCAAGCTTTTTACCAATTTACTTATTTGATGTCACCATGCAAACAGTACAAGAATATTAAACAAAGAATATCATCTTATTTTGTATTACAGGTCGTTATAGTATCGAGTGTTTAGGGCTTTTTTGTGGTGACTGTCCTTTGGCGATATTCATACATTTTTCTGGTTATACTGAGTGTGTTGTCACCTCTAGTCGAAGTATTCCCCAAACTAAAACGATATCGCTTCGTATACTGAAGAATATACTCTCTTTCCCTGGCTTGAAATCTGTTCAAGTAAGTCTTAGTTAATTCGCTTACGGAAATAGCGTGAATGTGTTCTGTTTGTAAACAGTCTAAACATTCAGAGATTTTTCACACGGCTTCAAGGCTTCCTGCGACAGTGAGCTCAGTGGCAGATTCAGGGTGAATTCAGAATGAATTACTTGCAGCCTAATATCAAATGCAAAATACCTTAATAACAATTGCATTGGTTATTTATTTCCAAAGGATATTCTAACGTAAAAACTTACTGATATGATTGCAAGTTGGAGATGTGATAATTTATTCTGACTTACGAATTCGCCACTGAGTGAGTTTTATATTTTACATGACAAGTTGAATTTTTCATCAAAATAGTGAACTTTTCGAGAAATTTTATTTTTTATTTTTTTATTTTTTTATTTTTTATTATCAAAGTCTCCCAATATCTTTAGATGGGTTACAAAACAGATGGAGACTGCAAATCTCTCAAGATGAACATGGGGAAGTTTGTTTTGAGCGAATCCTTTGTTGTGCAAGAAATTGGAAAAATTGATGTGAAGCGTGAGTTTAAATTATATATTTTTTTGATTATGAAACACTTCATTAGCACAAATGTAAGGCTATAAGTGTTTTAAAGAATTCGATAATCTACGACCTTTTTTAACTACGTCTTGCTTGCGCACATCAGTTCAAATTTCGTTTGCTATATAATTATATATATACGTCTTTTCATTTATCGCACCTCACATTTTATCATTCTAATCCCTGTTATCTGAGGCACATTTAGGCCGCCCATGAAAAAGTACAAATTTACGAAATAAGTTTTAATGTTATATTCCCTGGCATTAAATATTTTTTTCCTTCAGCATTGGCACTTATTGCGTGTTACTTTGCGCAGTCAAGATTGTGTCAAATTGGAACAGAGAACAACGCAGTTTTCCTCTCTGGTTGGAGTCCTTCTAAAGTTTTCAATAACATCGGGCGTAAGTGGAAACGCTTTAGCAATATTACCACCTGGAAACGAATTTACCAACCTAATGCCAAGTACATTTAAAATCATCAAATTTATCATACTTTCAGTTTTTCACTCTTGAAGACGTAAAATATCATCTTTTAAGAATTTAGGTGAAATTATTTCAATGCAACGAGTCCTTAAAACACCATATTTCATGAATAAATTGTGATAATAGTATGTAATATTTTAGATAAAGTTAACGCTTTGACCATGAGTGAGAATATGATCGCGCGTTTCACCTATGATGGAGTTCCATACAACTGGGTTATTGAACGAACAGGGGTTTGTATAAAATTTAGGTACAAATCAACTGGAGATAACAACACTTTATCACTTTCTTTTAAAACATCTTCTGCACCTCTTTCATTGCGCTGGAGTTTACATGGTAATCATGGCGATGTTTGGAAAACTGGCAGTATCTCACATATGCCTAATGAATCTTTTGCGGTGAGTCAGAATGGCTGTTGATCAGTTGATGTTCAAAAACTTTTCTTAACTTTCTTCGATAAATCCCGTCTTCTCGTTCTGTTTGTTATTTTCAGTTTACTTTCGGAGGCCGTATCAGTGAGACCAACTCAACGGTTGCCATAGCAAGTCTCTTAATCACCACAGAAGTTTGTACCGAATATGGTGATATATACCCTTATTTTGCTGACCCAGGTAAAAATTATTTTAATGAAATCTAGAATGAAAAAATATAATCTTTTAATTTTTGCGCTGAGCAGTCGATTCGAAACTGATTGATAAATGAGTTATGGTATGCAGAGGAAATTTCTTTCGTTATCTCTATCTAGACAGTAAATGTGACTCGAACAAATTTCTTTGCGATAACGGGGAGTGCATCAGCCATAGTTATGTTTGTGATGGGGACAAAAGGTGCTCCGATGGATCCGACGAAAAGAAATGCGAATGTTTTACTGGTCAGTTCAGATGTTTAGTTTCTGGGGAATGTATCGAAAAGAGATTTCTTTGCGATGGAATTGACAACTGTGGTGATGCTAGTGATGAAAAAGATTGTTGTATGTTTGTAATTTCATCATCTGAATAGTAAACTCAGGAGCGTAGCGAGGTTCTGCCTTTGGGAGGGGCAAACGCGTTTAAGGGGTGTCAAGCAACATCCCCCTTAGGAAAATTTAGAATTCCGGAGTTTCTAAAATTCTAAAAATAATGGGTTTTTTCTTCTTGTAAATTTATCTACTTTCACCGTTAGATAACACCCCCAAACAATATTCTACCTAAATTTTAACGTTTTCGATGAATGATTCATCAAAAGATTGGGGGGAGACTCTTACCTTGGCTACGCCCCTGTCTGAATTCCAATTAGTTCTTAAATCTTTACTATTTTGTACAAAAAGTACAGCAAAACATCAATACTTCTCTAAAACTATAACATTTTCAGATAAAAGCTGTGATTCTAAGCAATTTTACTGTCCTAGTGGTATTTGCATCCCTTGGAATACTACCTGTAATGGAGTACGTGATTGTTTGGATGGAGCCGATGAGCCAAGTATCTGTGGCAATACCACGGGTATGTTCTGTTGTCTCAGAATTGCTTAAATATTCATTCTAAGTCATTTAAATTACTCAAGTCATCCAGATTACCTAATTAAGTCTTTTTTAATACGGCGTCCGTCAACAAAGACCAAATCTTTGCATCTTTCGAAGCTTGCAAGTAATGCAATGAGACTAGTGGCATTGAAGTACTTTTTATCAAAGCCGTAGCTAGAAGCTTAAATTTGGGGGCCGCCTTTTCATAGCCATTGTTTTTACGATTGTTTGAAATGAATATATGTAAATACCTCCCCTCCCCCCCCCCAATTAAGCTAGCTACGGCCCTGTCTTTTACTTCCTCCTTTAATGAAATGAAATCCTAATATAATTATCTGTTCTTTGAATAAGACGAAATAAAGATCTTTTTATGGTTTACTTCTGTAATTTTTGTTTCACAGCTAACAAAACCTGTAGTCTTGATAATCTCAGTTGCATGGGCGAAATGAGACCCGAGGAAATGTGTGATACAAATGGTAAGCCGTAATCCATTTGCTTTGTCTAATCTGGTGGATTGAGGTTTTTTCAACTGCTTCATAGTTGTAAACAGATACAAAAGGTTTTTTGTTTAGTCCTTTAAGAAAATCTTCTCTTTCTCGCAGCAAATTGTGATTTCGAGGAAGGAAGTTTATGTGAATGGCACCAAGTCAATGACGGAAGCGATGATTTTGATTGGTCAATTGGTAAGGGTGAGACCGCTTCCAAGAATACTGGACCAATAGTTGATCGTACAACTAGATCTAAAGAAGGTGAGTGATGCTCAAAAAGTGTTATATTACCATTGCCAATCTCAACGCGCTTTCTTCTTTAAATCATTTTTTTAAGGTTCATATATCTTCATTGAAGCTAGCTCGCCAAGGGTTGCAGGCGATAAGGCAATACTAAATTCTGGTCCATTCAAACCCGATCGAAATTTCTGTTTCATGTTTTATTATCATATGTTTGGCCCACACATCGGTCGTCTAAGCGTATATCGAACAGGGTTGAACAAAACCGACGCTCAAGTTCTTTGGACTCGAAATGCCTCGCTCAGCAAATACTGGAATGCCGCCTCAATTGATATCGAATCAAAAGAAGCATTTTACGTGAGTGTATACAATGATGTATACAAGACTAAAAAAAGGTTGTTAGTAATATACGAAGTAAAATTTGACATATGTTTATTTAATAGCTATTTTTCGAGGCGGTTCGTGGTGATGGATCCCAGGGTGACATTGGACTTGATGACATTTCTATGGTTGCAAAAAACTGCTCTGAAGTTCACAATGGTATAGAATGATTCCCTCTTCACTTCACTTCAGTTCATTGCAGTAATTTTATCTTGTTAATAAGAACACCTAGTGTACAAATTGTAATCTATCAGCTCAGCTTGTATTGCCCCAATTTTTTTTTTCAAACTTGATTATACAAGTCAATTTTAGTCGTCAACAGAAATAAATTAAAAGCTGATAATGTATGCAGATGGGGCGCATTTGTCTGTCAAAAATTCAAAACTAACAACTAATTCTTTCTTATTTTGTCCAAGATTACTCTCCTTTTTGCTCGTTTGAGAAACCTTGTCCTTGGAAAATGACCCCCAAAGTTTGGTCAAGAATGCGTGTTAAAAATAGGAATCTATTCATGCTCCGAGGTATATATTTTTCTATCCTAAGTAATACGCTACTACTTTTTCCACTAGCTACTGGTAAGCGCCAAGGTTTCTTTTAGTTTTGGTGGTTGTCGTGATCAATGAACCGCCGGCCTTTTTTATGATTAAAGCGTTTTTAGAGATAGATGTTTCTTCCGAGAAGAGATGGTTGTGCATTTTTGACACATAATTATTAAAGAAGGACTCGTTGATCTCTCTTAATGTTTTACATAATATGTAATCTACGTATTCTGTTATTATAGATCACTTCTTGATGACACGATCATCTGGCCGGATGGAGATCGTTCTATCCGAACAAATCACAGACAGACGTTACCAGTGTATGTCATTCTGGTATAAGTTTAGTTATACCACTGGTATGCAGTTTAGAACTATGCAACTATTTGATTGGAATATCATTCAATTATGGCACAGCCTTCAGACTGCCAACAAACAATGGGTGTTCGGGGAGATGCCGTTGAGAGTAACTGTGATGAAGTCAAAGGTATAATTGAAGCATTTCAATCTAGAGTTTCAGCGTTCCACGTGGCTCGATTTGCCAAACTCTTCAGTGATACAATTTTTTGCAAGAGACTTCTCTTTAAAGGAAAAATTCGCCACATAAATTATCAAATTAAATGTTAAAACAGTCAAAAATTATTTGTACATATGACGTCATACTGTTGTTATAGTAACAATCACGATTCAATCTGCCCAACATTTCACTCATTTACGCATTTTACAATGTCATATTTATGGACAATTTCTGACATTTGCAAAGTTGGTTAGGAAGGAAGGAGTCATTTTGAGAAAAAGCGCTCCCCCCCTGTATAAAATATAAGCAATGTTATATAAAAATATAAGCATATATCCATATATCGCCAACATGTAGTTTATGAATTTGCCAAAATTCTAACAGGGGAGTATAATTGGCTCTCAGTAGTGCCCTGAGAGGTGGGGGGGGGGGAAACAGGGGCCCTTGTTTCCTTAATACTTTGTACGCAAAAACAGTATGGGGTGGATACATCTTTTAAGTTTATATAACATTGCTTGTATTTTAAACAGGGGGGTCGATGACTGTGAAAAGTATTCCTTAAAAAAAAGACCTATCAGGCCACCTTGAAAAAATTGCAAGTTTAACACTACTACATGTATTTGTGCATTTAATTTTGTTTTAATTTTTTTATATAAAATTGTATTTTTCTTTTTAGCTTGTCATCATAGTAACCATTCCATCTAAAAGAAATTCGCCCTATTTCGCCATTGACGAAATTAATTTTTCTAAGGAAACGTGTCTCTCTTTTCAACAAGGTAGAGTAAGAACGATTCTATGGTTTTTTGTCGCCGTAAGATCCAAAAGATGGTAAAACAGCTTTACACTTATTTTATACCCTGATCATATCTAGATTTTCTTTTCACGTTGCTTGCTTTTTTGTATTGACCATAGGGGGTTTTGCGTGGATTCGAAAATCTTCAACGTTTTACAAGTGGTTGAAAAAGCGAAATAGCGATGGCAGCATTACAGCATTCTATGACAGGCCAAACATCCACCGGGCACTCACCGCCCAGAGTTTTTTAAAAAAATTTATACTATACAGTATAAATCACGTTGTTAATGACATTCCTCCGTCAGAGTATACAAATATCAGTTTGGGAAGCCGAATACTTATAAAGGATCATCACGAATTGACAGCAGTTGCAGGAATCGTTATTGCCAAGGAAACCGTCGGTGACAATTCACGCTACCTGTTGACTGCTCGCCTTGATATTAACGGCACAGATGTTGTGGTTGAGGAAGAACGTGCGTTGTTGCTGCCATATCAATTAGACCGCATTGGTAAGTGCAAGTCTTTAGATAACTATATCAAATCTTGACTGCAGTAGCTTGGTCAGATAGGCTTTCTAAATAATACAATGGGTGCATGCTAGCAAAATTTCTCGTCATATTTTTTTCGCTGAATGTCAAATTATGCCAACCTTAACAATGCAGTCAACATTAACCTCATCAATAAACACAATAAGCAATACAATAGCCTAGCTGAAGGTTTTTGCCATATATGGCAAAAATAATATATTAGGGCGCTGTATATATTGGACGAAACAATACACTGAGATATATTTCTTACCAAAGTTACAAAAACACTGACGAGAGATATTGGGCAAGATACTTCCACTTCATTAAAATCAACCCTTATTGATGTATTGAAATCTTTAGGCTCTGCATGGCTTTCATTGCCCGTATACAGATGCAGGTTTCCGAGTTACAATGATTGGTGCTATTTTTCTGAAAAGAAACGAAATTGGTTTGATGGTGCCGACGAATGCAAGCTTTTTGGTGGTGAAATGGCAAAATTTGACTCCGAACTTGAGGAAATACATGCGCGGAATATATTTGCAAATCTTTTACCTTTTTGGATTGGTTATCACGGACATAAACATCAGGGGAAAAGGTTTGTATGGAGTGATGGGAAGAAGGATCTTTATAACAACTTGGACAAAAGAAGTTTGGATCAAGGATTATCTGCAGGCTTGTGTGTAACGATCACAAATTCCACCGTTTGGGAGCGACGAAACTGTAGTGAGGTTCTGAACGTTGTTTGCCGCATCCCAGGTGAACAAATTGTTTCTTTGCGTAAACTTAATTTTAGACAGGACGATAACTGGTCCAATATGAGGCTGTATTGAGACAGGTGCGCTTGGAGATTTGGAGAACGTGAAAATTTGCAATGTTAACTGAAGTCGGTGCAAATTTTTCATTCACAGCATCGTGTAAAATCGCCAAATTACACACTTAATTATTCATCTTCTGTAATCACTGTCAAATACTTCAATTTGATTGGTTTACAGGAGTGCGATTAATCATTAATCGCACTCTTGGTGAGCTGTAATCGCACTCTTGTTCACAGCCAATGAAATTCAGCATAGCTTTACAAGTAGCCAATCAGCATTCAGGATACAAAATAAGAATTTGTTTTCTTTTGGGGCGCGAAATTTTTAAAAATGGAGGAATTTGACAATGATTTTGAAAATTTTGACCTTTTAAATGATATATTTGCTGAAGAAAATGACCAGAATTTTTGATTACAGAAGATGGATAATTAATAAGTAATAGAACGAATTAAGTCGTGCAATTAATGCCAAATCATACTCGTGCTTAACAAATCAACCTCCCGCTGCGCGGTCGGTTGATTTTGTAATCATTCGTATGATTTTGGCATTAATTGCACTCCTATTCGTTCTATTACCATTATTAATTACACACGTAATTACACACGTTGGTTAATCATAGTTAAGAGGCTTGGGACTCGATCTTTTCTCCGAACATACACCCCCACCCCCTTTTTCTTTCATTATCATGGTTGCATGGCCGGTATATCCCTGTATTTCTGAATCTTTTACCACGTCCCTGCAATACAAGGGAACCAATGAAATACACATGCAACATTAACGATGGTAACATTAACGATAATTTTGATTTTCTAGTCGTGAGAAAAATATTAATTTCCAAACAACAAGGAAAGAAAACGCTAAACTGTTCCAACCTCGATGCCGTGATTGATATCCTTGATGCAAAACTCGATCCAGTACAATCTAAAACTGACAAGGGTGGAAAATCATCTGGTAAAACAACTTATTGCAAATTGAAACCGGACGTTTCTATTAGAGTGAAGACGAGGTGCCAATTCAAAAATTGGTGCCGTTTATCAGTGAAATCGATCATCAACGGAAATTGCCCGGATAAAAGATACAATCTTATGATTTCGTATAGATGTGAAAAGAATTCGAAAGAAATAAATCCAGGTCAGTTTTGAAGCACTTTTGAAACCTTCCGCATGAAATTTACGTTCTATATATCTTGCCTTGCAGGTACTTCAGAGTTCAGGTCCGTATTCTGTCCAAAGGATTGGGATAAGTTTCGAACAAGCTGTTACATCTTGAACTGGGCAAAAATAGAATGGGATAAAGCTCTGACACGTTGCGAGAGTATGGTGCTAGGAGCTTCATTGGTGTCATTTGATGATAAAAAAGAGAAGGATTATATCAGAAGTAGCATGAAGTCAAAGGGTATAAAAAAATATCATACCTGGCCTCGACCTAATCCTGGGAAAGACTTACAAATAGCTAATTTCGTTTGCGAATACAAATTAGGTAATTACGCGATCGATAATATATTGTTCCATTAATACATTTCTTTCTTCAAATTGTATGTCTGTTCAAAGCCACAATTCAAAAACCCATTATAGTGGTTTTTAGTCTAAACCCCACCTTGATTGTTCAATGTGAAACCTAACCAGTCATTCCGATGTTGATTTAGGCAGTGGTTCGTGCGATTTTGAAACTGACTGGTGCGGTTGGAGCGACTATTCAAACAATACCGACTCTCGCTGGTATCGCACAGTCGAACAAGAACCAGTACAAACGTCAATGATGAATTCAGGTACAGTGATACGGTGTGCCATTATTTGACATGATTTGGCTTACAAATGCATGATTTTAATTAATATAAGAGTCGAACCTCAGCACGAATATAGCTACTGAATCAACAAATAACACTATTCGAATCATGGTATCTCGAAAGAAAAAATTTTATGTTCCAATAGGGTGAAATAAAATCCAAAAAAATTTTCACTTCCTATTTTCATAAATATTCAAACCAAGAAAACTGACAGAACGTTTTTAAATATCCAGATATTGCCAGAAGATATCAAGTAGCTTCGCCTGACAAAGTCAATGTCTACTTATTTCGAGGACGTCTCCTGGAAGAAGTGTACTGCTGCCGAAAGAAATCAAATATATCACAATATGTCTTTGGGTGTTTCTTCCTACGAATAATAATGAAACCAAAGTGAATCTCGTTTCATTTGGTAAAAAGTTAAAGTTAAAGATCTACTACGAAAATAAATATAATAAATTCAGGGTAAACTTTTATAACTGGAACAGGTAAGTCACACGTTATCTGCAGTCATGAATTCTTATAACTAAGGTCCGTTTAACGTGCAATTTTTGGTGGGATTTTCTTCTTTTGATAGATGTGATCGAGCTAATTAGTTACAGATGTTCAAATAAAAGCTCTTATACATCAGAGCATTTAAAACTGTAGTCACTCGTTCACATCTGCCAAAAGAAGAAAATCGCACATAAAAACACAGCAAAAGTTGCAAGTGTAAACGGGCTTTAGTCGCACCGGCCAAGTTTGAAAACGAAACGAATTTTTTTTAGTTTAACGAATGCGTTCGTTACCTTTGAAACCTGGCAACATATTTGCTTCAGTATTGATACACAATTAAAGTTGTGGAAGTTCTTTAAGGATGGCCACATGACTGATATTGGGACATTTGACCTGTCGAAATCTTATGTGATGGATCAAAGTGCTAGTGATAACATCCTAACGTTAGGCGAGGTAGGTATAGGTAAGGACGTTTCAAGAAAGGAGACGGGGTGGTGAACACATTTTAGGGTACGCCGTGTGTGCCCTAGAGCTATTAAGAAAGAAACCTTCAGGTTTCTCTTATTAAGACGCCATTCGGAAGCGGGCAATTGCTATTTTCGGTTGTAGCCGGAAAAAAACGGGGGGTTTTCAATCGCTTTTTCTTTTTTTTTTCTCAATTATAGTATGCTTGTTTGAGTGAATGCACAGCGACTGATACATTTCGAGGGAAAATGACTGAGCCCGACGTGTGGTCAAGAATTCTTAAATTCGAAGAAATTTCGGTGTTTTCAACTGGTTGTGGTATTACGACATCTCCTGATATTGCCCTTGAACGCACTAATCCTGTAAAAACGCTCTCGTTCGAAAATGGTGAATGTATCACTGGAAAAGGTAAGCGCGGCATGGCTAAAAGAAAAAAGAACAAGGCGCTTAAAACATTTATTAACTTTTAAGTAATCACGTTTCAGTAATAAGGCACCTTCGCGAAAATATTTGCCCTTATTTGTATGGGGATCAAAGTTTAAATTCTTGCACGGCTTACAATCCCGACCATTACAAGGAAACATCGTTGCATGGTTTCCTCCGCGTATCTCGATCCGTCCAACCGGTTGGGTTAGAGTAAAGTTCAAGTCAGTTAGACCAGGTGCAGTGGCGTAACCAGCCTGACAGATAGGTCATGCTACGCAAATTTCAAGTCATTAGAATTATTAAATTCTTTAGAAATTCATTGTCTTCAATGAACACCAAAACATTAGCATAACATGACTGAATTGTCGGGCTGGCTACGCCACTGGCCGGGTGATGACTTCTGTCATAATTTTTTTCGACCTAGCTAGCTGCATGTTTATTTTTTAATTGTTTTACAAAGCATTTTCTTTGCCGAAAAAAAAACAGAGCCAGTGGTTTATACGTAACGGGGGGTGATGGTGTATCGTGTGTCAAGTGACAGGGAGCACTCGAGCTTTAGAAGACAAAAATGACAGTAAAAAATTGTTAGCACACTAGTCTTCTGAGGAATTTAATTACGGGTAACAGACTAATTAGCGATTATTATTCATGTTGTCATAAATGTTTGCATGTCATTCAACAAGTCGTACGAACAGTTGTTTTGGCCTTATTTACTTCTTGAAATGATACCATTCTGTCCAGGCACCCGACTAACGACGACCAAAACGCAAAACTCATCGTTACCATCCTCACCAGTCCTGCTGTCTCCTTGGATGAACGTACCTTTTGAACGAGTCCGTGGTGTGTGTATGCGTTTTAACTACCGTTTGTTGGGAAAGAATTCAGAACTAACAATTTATGTTAAACCAAGAAACATGAACACGGAAAAACTATGGTCTGTTAAAAGTCCGCAAGAAAATAAATTTTGGAAAAATGGTCAAGTCTCTTTGGGGCTCGTAACAGAGTTTAGGGTGATTAATTTATATTCATAGAAACTCGAAATAACGAGACTTTTATTATTTATGGTTATTTTAACTCGTTGCGACGTTACGTGATATATTTTTCTAGGTTTGTATCAGGGCAAAGTTAAGGTCCATTGCAAGCACGGCGAAGATTGACAACATCTTATTTGTGGAAGATTACTGTGACCCAGTTCCGTCAAATTCTCAAGGTATCTTCAAGTGAAATAAATTAAACAAGTAATATAACTTATCGAATATAATTAAGTAATTATTATTAATTTATACATATTTCTCATGCACCTAAAGCCTAGTTTCCATTTAGTCGTAATTGTCGTCAAACAAATTGTTTTCACCGATGAGAAATAGTCAGGGTGTAAATAATTTGTCTTTATTGCTGTGATTAAGTCGGTCATTGTTGACTGCGCACACATAGAAATATTCCATCACATCAACCACCTTGACATGTTCACGACGCTCACGAATAAATGGAAACCAGGCATAACTAACAGCTACTGGGGACGGTAATATATGTATTCATCACGACGACTATGGGGAACCTCCGTGTTTTTATTCTCACCTGTTTTCGTTTTCGCTGAAGAATAATAGTTAAATCTTCTGATATTCCTTTCTAGCTGTTGGTTAAAAATTGAAATCATCTACTTGTAAAATTTCGAATAACATTGACCTCAAATAATCAATTCTTTTTCTGTCGTAGAGTGGCACACCAAAGTGCCGACGAGAATCTCCGGGTCCATCAGATCACCATATTATCCCGGGTTGTACCTGAACAACATGAAAAGATCCTGGACAATTACGGTTCAAGAGGGTCACCATGTATTAGTGTCTCTCACATTCTTAAATTTAGAATTTCATGCAAATTGCAAAAGAGACGCGGTGGTTATTATGAATAGTCGCCAGTCTAAAAAACGAATCCGTCTTTGCGGTGATGTCACTACGAGGAAGCCAGTTTTCATGTCAGCGGGCAACAGCGTGTTGATAATGTTCGTGTCGGATGAGAGAGATGTTGGGACAGGTTTTGAGCTTCGTTACCAGGCCATTCCTGGTAGGTAGAGATAATAAATCCACAAAGTAGGATATTTTAAGAATTCATACTAACCTTTTTTGTTATCATCTCTAATGGTTTTGCAGATACCGGCTTTGACCACTTTTGTTTTGCTAACAGGATTCCAGGTTAGCTCTTTGAAGTTTGCTCGCTCCGAAACAAATCAAAGCAATCCGGGCTCGGTTGTTCAATGCTAGGTTAGCGCTAACCCTGGGCTAAATTTTAATCCGTTAATCTGTTTTAGTTTACGTGCTTCTGCACCGCCGCTTGTTTCAAAACTTTACAAAATATGATTTCTATATTGAACCATAAAATACTCATGGTAAAAATATTCAACATTTATGAATAAAATTTGCGTTAACCCTGGATTAAGTTAACTGGCTTTTGAACAACTCGGGCCAGAGTGGCACGGAAAAAGGTGTTAGTGAGCCCCTTCCCAAAATTAGGGGGTTTTGTGGGAAAGATAAAATCTGGCTGGCCAACGCTACCTTATATACCTTCAACAATGAGCTCCGCGGTAGAGCTCTGTAGTCAGCCAAATTGCTTAGTGTAGGTTAGTTTAACTTGTGCTGGGTGGTCAAACGGGTAAAACATCTAATACCAGTCCGTTAGCAGTCAAGTAATTGAATATTTTCTGTAGATTGTCATCCTAGCGTTGTGTGTTCAAACATCAGATCAAATAACTCAAGGGTTTATGTCCACGGTAGCGAACTGGTGTCATTACCAGAGTACTTTCCAGCATCAACGACTGTTATGTAAGAATCAAAACTACCACAAAACATAACACCTGAAATCTCTTGTTCTATGTTTATCATGATCACACTTTGTTCATAGAAACTTTGATCACAATTATTTGTTCACGTTGGGTGGAGCTGATTTGAAAAATTTAACCCAGTTGGAATATCTGTAAGTACGATTAATTGGTATAATTCTGATCAAGGTCAAGTGGGTTATATTGATGCATTTCGATCTATATGCATCGATATGAATGCCTCGACTTCGTTATAACTTAGATTTAATAGCTCAATTGTTTTTTGTCGCAATTTCAGAAGTTTCATTGACAATAAAGTTTCAGATGTAAACCAAGTAGCGTTTCAAGGTTTGACAACTTTGAGAACTCTGTAAGTATCAACATGATATACGTCCTTCATCGCTATGCGTTTTTTATGATAGTAAAACACGCCGTTTCCGATCTATCCTTTCAGACGATTGTCCCAAAACTTTATCAAGTCTATCTCCAAAACTCTTTTCCTTGACCTTTACTCCTTGGAAACTTTGTAAGTATACATTATATGCCCTTATTAATTTTGAATGGTAATTTTGATACACCGCTACCGTGATTATTTTCAACTATCAATCGTCAACAGCTCCAAATGATTTGAAACAATCATTATAGTTGTTGTGGTATTGTCCGAAAATATTTTAAAACTTTCAGGGATCTTAGTAAGAACAAGATTGAGGAATTGAAAACTGGCTCGTTTTCGTCTCTGAATAATCTTCGCATCCTGTAAGTCTATGGTCATGACTACTTTCTACCATTATTTCGTTTTCAACTTTGCAGAACAGAGTGAAAAGCTAGACTAATTAGAAATTCATATTTATCACACAATTTTTCGAATTTTACCATCTTAATCGTTTGTAGGAGTCTTCGCAAGAATGTTTTAACACAGTTAAGCGATGGAGTTTTTATTGGACTGACGAATCTTCAGTATTTGTAAGTTAGCATTTAAGTACACGTTAAGTACACCGCTGAATTGGTAAAATTGAAAAACACTTAGCCGCAATTCTCAATACTTAGGCTTCAAACTTAGTGAGAAAAAAGATTTATAGATACTACACAAAATATGTCTTGCACAAACGATTTAAAGCTTGTACACGGCAAAAACGAATCATCTGAATTAATAACCTTGTGTATACTTTAAGCGTCAAAATGGCCATTTCACAGCTGTCAGATGTGTATGATGAGCTGTCAAAAGATTGCATAATGCGTATTCGGAAGAAAAACCGAACTTTTTAAAGCTATTCAATAGTTTTCGCTTTGATAGCGATACAGCAATACACAATGCGAACAAGCTATCAAATTTTCGGTTTGAAATTTCATAAACACCAACTTCTGCGGTGTTAAGTCGTTCCCAAGTAATCGAGTCGTCCTTGAAAGAATGTGCATTTTAACTTCTGAATAGATACCTTGATAACAATGGACTAAAAGAAATTGAGGGTTCTGTCTTTGATGAACTGACTAAGATGAAGTCATTGTAAGTGTTTGCTCTTTCAAAAATGACGAGCGTCGTTCGTGTCAGCTGTCTTAATGTTTACAACCCCGGTCAACTAGTTCAATATCCTGACTGTTTAGAATTTTAAACTCCAACCACCTAAAAATCATCAAATCATCCTGGTTAAGCAAGAAAAAATACCTGGAAACATTGTGAGTTATTTACATAGTTATATGTTCGTATGTTCGCTCTTTTTATCTTTTCACATAAAATGTCATTAATGTCGTCTTTTTCAGGGATGTTGGAAAAAATAATGTAATAGAAATCGAGTCAGGGGCATTTCGCGATTTAAAAAATTTGGTTCGATTGTAAGTATTTATATACCGAGGTTTGCTCTAATATAATACGTCGCAGCGTCTTCTGATAAATTCTCATCCAATATGGTATAAAAATGGCGTAAGATGGACAGGAAACTTCCCAAGATTTCTATAAGTTTGTCAGCAGGGTCGAGAAATAGGAGAGGAGGAGGGAGCAAGAAGGGGCAGTCCGCCCCACACCCCAATTATTTGAGATTTTCTGAAAATTTGCAGGTTATTAAACGGGTTTACTTTACTTTCTGCATGAGAGAAGGTGCCCGACACCTCTTATTACGCTCTCTTCCTCAAAGTCAGGGTCTGTCGGTTAGACTATACTGTACGTCGCTGTTCGTCAGGAGTTAACTGTTAGAAAGTTGGTCGTACATACTTACCTGCCGAATTCCTTTACCAATACAGTCGAAACAGAAAAACATCTATAGTCTACGTAAACAAGGGCATATTATCTGTTAGCAAAATCCAAGGGATAAATAATTCAATTGAAGTTTGTCGTTACAAAGTTCAACTCCATATTATAACGACATTACATGATTATTATCCAATTTCTTTAGAGATTTGTCGGACAATCAACTTCAAAGTATTCCTGAAAATCTGTTTGAAAATCTCGTTTCTTTACGTTACGTGTAAGCTTTATGTTACAATATATGATTTTTATGATTTTAAATGCTTTATGTTACAATATGAACTTTTTGGTTCCTATACCCAAAATAAAAAGTAACCCGCGCTCTTTATTATATTAATTCAATGTGTAGCAAGATATGCCAGTCATAGGGGGGCCCATATTCATATATTCGTGATACGCAGGATTAATTTCTTTTCAAATCAATGACCCCCCCCCCAATTATCGTTCTGGCTACGCCACTAATGCCAGTGTGACTGGAAAAAAATTAAATGTGTTAAGTGGAGTGAAATGTGTCTTTCATTCAAACAGGAAAGTAGATCACTTCACTCTATGCTGCTATGCAAAACAGAATAATCCCAGCGTTAACTGTGTCTCAAAGGCTCATGATGGTTTCTCAAGTTGTGATGAACTTCTGAAGAATACAGTTCTCAAGTACTCTATCTGGATTCTTGGTATTATGGCTTTTGCTGGGAACCTAATCGTCATTATTTGGCGATCCGTCGCAAAGGATAGCAACAAAGTAAATTCATTTCTCTTGACAAATCTCGCTGTCGCCGACTTTTTGATGGGAATCTACATGTTGATAATCGCGTATAAGGACACCGCGTGGGACGGGGAGTACTTTAAACATGACTTTACCTGGCGTGCAAGTGATCTTTGTATATTTGCCGGAGTGATATCGACTGTCTCCAGTGAGGTTTCAGTGATAACATTGACGGTGATCACAATTGATCGTTTGATCTGCATTGTCTTTCCGTTTCGATTTCATCGCTGGGCCATGAAGAAGGCTGGAATTATTATGGGCATTGTATGGATGCTAGGATTATGTATCTCCATAGCACCGTTATTTCACGACTCATACTTTTATGATTACAAGAATAATGTTCACTTCTTTGGTCGTTCAGCGGTCTGTTTGCCGCTTCAGTTATCGAAAGAACGTCCCTCAGGATGGCAGTATTCTGTTTCCATTTTTCTCTTTCTAAATGGTTTTTCATTTATCTTCATACTCGCGGCGTACATCTTTATGTATCATACAATCGTCAAGGCAGCGAGTGCGGTTAGTGTTCAACAATCATCCGTTCGCATAAGAAGTGAAATCTCAATGTCAATTGTCCCGGAAGAATACACCGTTGATCTTTTTTGTTTTCTTTAACTCGTTATTAGGTAAGGTCTACAAGAATGAAACAAGATTCTACGCTTGCCAAACGAATGATGTTCATCATTTTGACTGACTTCTTTTGCTGGTTCCCAGTCATCATAATCAGTATCCTGGCGTTAACAGGCAATCTTTATGACCCTTCGAAACAGGTTTACGCCTGGATCGCTGTCTTTGTGTTGCCAATAAATTCGTCAATCAATCCGTTACTTTACACCTTTTCAACGCCGTATGTTCGTAAAAAAATTCCAACAGCAAACAGAGCATTGGCACGAAGACGGCGAAGAGAAAGTAACGGTGCGTATTCATAACTATCTACTCCTAAAAAGAAAAGCCTAGTTAAACCTTTTTACAAAATTTGTTTGCTTTCCTTACTTTGCAAAATATAGGCTATCCGCCATCTTGTTTTATAATGAGATCTAATTACGTGACGTCAAAGCAGAGTTGACGCTTAAAAAATAACAACTTCATGTTTGCGCGTTAGTAAAAGAACTCTGACAATTCAAACGTCGTTACAATATGAGATACGTGATATTATAATATATGGCGGGTAATTTTATCATGAATTTGTAAAGTTACCAAAAATTCGTAAACAAATTTTGCAAATCAATAATCATGCATGACGTTATTCGAAAATAGACAAAGATAATTTTTGGTGCCTTGTCCCTTTAATTCGTGTTCTTTTGTCCATGTTCAAAACGGAAGTTATGAAAACACTGTGTGAGAGTTTCATGATAAAAGAAAGTCATGAAAACATTTTTGCAAGCAACCTTAGTACCTCAATGCGAATGACAATGTTGACATATTATACGGAGTTTTCTATTTTTCTCTTCGTTTTACAGAACATAGTCATAGTAGACATTTTACAAGCGAGAACAGCATGGTTTCAAATCTTGATACTCGTAATACAATAACTCCACCGCTAAGTACTCCTCGGTCATTTCGCAAGCTGGAAATCATCAATGAAGGGTACAGACCCGATGACAATATGGCCGAAAGCGATTTTACCGAGTCAATATCGGACATAGAATATCGCATAAAGATGGTCGAGGACGTAAAGTATTTCTCTGATGATGGAAATGGCGGTATGGTGAGTTTACCGATGTTTCTCTTCGTTGTTGTTGAAATAAATCACACTTAATTAGAATTGCAATACCAACGAAATTTCTATTTTTAAATATCAAGTCTTTGTATGCAAACAAAGTTGCGCTGGTTGTTTGATGGCACAATATACCATCCTGAGGATGAAGCAATTATTACTTTGTGGTACTTCACTATAGATGTAGGATAGTCTAGTAGATATACAAGCATCAAATTCCAACCAGAAAATGTGTCAACTAACGCGGTCTAAAATTGTTCGATGTATAGGATGATTTACTCTGAATACACACTAACAACGCTCGCTCTTGTCAGCTATCTCTGCAGCTCAGTGGTAAGAGCATTTTACCACAGTGATATATATAGCTCATCTGTGATTGCAACGGCAAAAGTTCAGCGAAGTTCATGCAAAGTTCACGAAGGTGTGGGTCCGATTCCTGCCGGAGAATCGATAGTTGACATATTATTCTGTAATTCTGATTACGAATTGAATATGAATTTGAAATGAATATGATTCCTAGTCGCACTTAAAAAGCGTTTAAACCTCAAAATAAAAATGCCTTTCATAACCTTCAAAATAATCCTTCCTACAATAGAAATACTGCCTTACTGTTGATGATGACGGGGAGGAGATACCTTGTGGTATTCATGTTTATAAGAATGAATATGAAGAAGCGTGGAAAACGACAACTAGGATTCTTTTCTGGTTATCAATGGATGGTGGACATGATAATATCTTGCAATTCTTGTGGAGCGCTAAAGGTTAGCCTTGTCACATTTCATAGGTATAGTCAATTTTAGCACGCGCTGTAATCTTAATATCACTAAATTTACCTCATAAATTTATCGTTTAGCATATAGGCGTACCCCCTCTCCCCTCCCCCAAAGTTGGGATAATACAGCAATGATGATTGCATGATGATTGAAGGCTGTAGTAGATACTATGATGGTACTATCTTCTTGAATTTCCGCCATCTTCGGCTTCACATTTTTGCTAGGACGACTGATGACTGAAGTTCTTACTCCATTTATATATGGAGCTAATTGGAAACTCTACCGGATGTTTACATCCTGATGTTTTTACTTTACATGTCGCGTGTTTAATTTTGTCGAATATTTAAATCTGTTCTCGATCACAATGAAATTGTCAACCCTGACTGAGAATATATATAACTTGGCCGCCATCTTTACAGGCAAATTGAAAGCCGTCATTTGACACCAACAAAGCAACGCCGGTTTTTTATACACAAGCGCATCTCATCTGAGCAAAAGTAAAAGCTTAAAACAAGCACTGACACTCAGATTTTACTACAAAATAAGTTTCTTGAACGTGGAAAGGTTAAAACCTATTTAGTTGGCAAGTAAGCCACCGCCGCCTCCTAAAAAATAGAAGCTACCGTATAAGCCTAATGTACATGTCGATTGAGTTCCATATCAGGTTTGTTTTAGAGTTATGGTAATAGTAATCCATTAACAAATCTATTAACAAATTAAGTGGCGAAATGTTCGTCTTTTAGAATTTAGTAGGTTACAATAAATTGCAAGTTTTTATGTGTTTTAATTGAAATTGATGGTGTGAATATTAATCAATGGATATGCGTAGTTAATGATCTATTTTTCTTCACCCCATTATCAATCCAGGAAAATATGCACAAAAGCAAATATTATCATATAATCATTAATGTTTAACCCTGAATTTCTGCAATTTCGTAAAAAATAAACGGTAGAAATACCTTGATATTCAAATTATTATAATCTCTGCAAATGTTATGTTTAGGGGCCAAGATTTTAATTGAGAGAGGCGACTCTTTGGCAAGTACCAAGTTGGAAAAAAGACCTGATGATTGGTATGTGTTTTTGATACATCATCCCAATTAGCATCTTTTTGGCTGGACAAACGAAATAGCGTGATTAACCATAAGGCAGAAGTGAAATCTCGCCATTAGCCTTGCTCTTGACTCAGTTGTAATCCGGCCCTAATGCTGGTTAAAAAGACAATAAAACAGTGGAGAATTAACAAACTGCGATTTTCCTTGATTACAGCGTGATATGTTTGTAATCCGACCCTAATGTTGGCTAAAAAAACAATAAAGCAGTGGAGAATTAACAAATTTTCCTTGATTACAGCGTGATATGTTTTGAACTTCCTTCGAGGCTAACTTTGAAGAAATTTCTCCAACTGAACCACCATGATATCACTGAAGAAACTGTCTGCCGTATTCTAAACGATCTTATTGAAGCGATTGATTATCTTTCGTCAAAACAAATTGTTCATTACGCTATTCTTCCCGAAAATATATTTCTCGTCGAATCACCGGAGGTAAGGAAAAGGAATCAACTTTGAGCAAATCAAAACCATACAGTACCTATAGTTTCACTAAGCATTATTGGGATTATCATATTCATCACACATGAATGTAGTATGCATGGGGCTCAAAGGCTATTGCCCCCTGTGAAATTTTACTTGGATCCAGTCTCCCTAGATAATATGGAATAGTTCCCTAGAATATTATTGCAATAATCTTCTAAAAAATTCCCTAAGGGCAAGCTGCCCAGTACATGCAAGCTAGGTAGACAACCTCGTTCCCAGGGCCAATTTCCCTGAAATTCCCGGAACGAGGTTGGCAAGGTAGATTGAAATAGGTTGGGTCACTAAAAACCTCCTACAAGTTATTCGACGGAAACATTTCCTGTGTCCTTATTAATCATGAATGAATCCTTATTTTGATAGTTTACAGTAGAAAGCGCCGTACTTGGAGGACTTTGTGCAACCAAATTTATTGCGAACTCTTCAGAGGGAGAGCAAATGTATGATGAAGCTGGTGGAGAAAATGCGAAGGACTCTCTGGAAACCAATGTCACAGCGTTTGGGAAAATCATCCAGATCTTCCTTGAGGCTTGTCCATCATTTCAAAAACTCAGTCAAGTAAGTTCTTCGTTTCAAAAAATTATAAAAGCATGTCAAATATTTCATTATGTTTTTCCATACACACAATGAAGAGGGCTCTGGCACTGAGGTATATAATGTCAATCTTTTAAAGAAAATTTCATCATATGGCTTGACTAGCACAATGTTTTCAGTAAAACCTATAATTAAAAGTTTGTAATTGGTGAATGTGTATGAAATTCCCTAATATATCTCAAGTATCTATGTTCTCACATCTAGTTGCATGACATAATGGAGTCTTGTTTGGGTGATAACAAGCCGACAACGTCTGATTTATTGGAACAACTAGCTTTGATGGACTCAGATTATCCTTCAAGTGACAAAGTGCTTTGACTTATTTATCATGCCTGGCTCTGTCTTCACTTATCGCAACACCCAACGTTACATTTCCATTAATTTCAACTGCAATTTTTTAATTTCGATTATTGTAATGTATATATCAGTAAAGCAGTAATTTTTTTGCAACGGTTTTTAATGTGTAATCTAATTACCATATGTTACTGAATTTTCATATATCTCACTTGGTTCTTTAAATACTTAGAAAAAAGCAACTTAAACAGCAATGTATAATTTGCATGACATTAGGTAATCAAGGTATGATCTTGTGTGACAACACTAGTACTTCCACAATGTGATCATATTTATCTTCAACAATCCAAAATAAACCCATAATTAAAGTTACTTTAAAGTTGCATAGCATGACTAAATCGTCAGATTGACAGTTGACTACGCCACTGATTTCTTATATTTTTTCAATCTTGATTCGTCTTTCTTCTGTAAACTGTACTAATGTTCAGCTTTTTAATAATCGCCTGTTACTAGTAATGAAGCTATTCTCCAAGTGGGGTCTCCGTATGGCGAAGATGCCACAATAACTTATAACCAGGGAGTAGCGTGGCAGTGTCTCCAAACAACTTAGCATCAAATGTGGTATAACAACTGTCTAAAATAGACAAAACACTTCTCGACGTTTCGACCCGAGGGCCTTCGTCAGGAGAGTTAGTATGAAACTGCTATATACTAACTCTCCTGAAGAAGGCCCTCAGGTCGAAACGTCGAGAAGTGTTTTGTCTATTTCAGGGAGTTGTTATTCCACATTTGATACACAATAACTAATTTTAATATTATGGTGAGCTGTGATAACTTACGGTAAGATTCGTATCGTATCTAGCTTCACGATATATACCATTATTTTTCGTCTGAATGCTGTGAGTACTAGTCACAATGTTATGTAGTAATTTTTCATGCACTGTCACTGCTTTGTTCATCTGAGTGCTTGCATTGTCAATGCTTTGTTAATGATATAAGTGTATTAATTGTGATTTGTCATGAGTGCAAATCTTTTATCCTTCCACGAATAGAATGAATGAGAACATTCATTATTTGTTTTATAACACCAAATAATTGACCGTAAGATGGCAGCATGTCCATTTTACCAGAATGCATTGCGGGCATTAAGAATGATTGACTGAAAAAAGATGGCAAGAAAAACTCCTAATGACATGAAATTTTAACACAGCGAAGAAAATAACTTCCTGTTTTATGCCTGTCCTTTAAAAGACGTCAGTTCGCTTTTTTAAACGATTTTCGACCACAATGCATTCTGGTAAAATATACATCCGCCATCTTTTTTGTTATGGTCAATTCTAACGTTATCAAATTATCCAGTAAGTAAACAATTAACGTTTATAAATGATAATCTCATCGGCCACGGTACGGTTAATATTGTGAGTGATGGAATCTAGTGAAAGTAACCGTGTAATGGAAAATGTATTTGCACTGCTAGACTGTAAGATGGTAAATAGTAGTAACATGGAAATTTTTAACACCACGTGATGAAAAACAACCAATGAAAAGAGGTGAACTTAATAAGATGTTAAATAACTGCTTATTGTAAAATTAAAGCCCCGTACAGACGAGCAAGTTTTCCTTGACAAGTTTTATTTGCTCGCGTGTACGCGAAGGAGCCTTGTTCAAAAGCTAGTCATGCCAGCTTTTCAAGTAGGAAACTGCGCAATATATATAATAACGATTCTACAAAATCAAGACTTACGTTTAACATTACTGACTATTAAATTTTGAAATTGTTTTAAAATTTCACGGTCACGTTTCCTGTTTTCTAGCTTAAAAATGCGACAAGAATATCATATGAGGAGTAGTTCGGTTGAAGAGAATGCATGCTTCCCGGATTTCCGACAACTTTGTTTTGAATTTGATTGGCCCTAGCGGGAAAATTTGAAATTTGAAGCAACTATAGTCACTCATACACTAAAAAGAGACCCAAATAGCTTCAATTTTTATTTGTTCTGAATTTCTTCTTGCTTTCCACGAAATGAATATTTCTTCATTCACATGCAGCTTTTCAAATAATTATATATAGTCCCGGACAATCGAGATCGTTCTAGTCTCCAGACTCTCTCCTAAGACATTTATATACATCTCAGTCTTTATATATAATTATGTAAATTACAAGGTCGAAAACATCTAAGTAACAAATCGCTCACATCCCACTAAAATTTGGCCGTCGTTGTTGGCATAAAGCCAATGTCATATTTTCTACGAGAATTTCGTTCAGTTGAAATGATTTTTCAATGTGAAATAAGCACATGCATATTCATTTCGAAAGAAACTCTGTAGGTTAAGTATAAACGGGCTTATTCCACATGGTTGCACTTTTCAGGAATATACATGGCAAACTTTGGTCAGTATTATAATCTGTGGGACTTACCACCTAACCTATTAATGCTCAGCATATATAAAGTAATCGTAGTTCCAATAGGTTTAACCTATTGCATGTATTATGACTGATTTTTATATTAAACTCACTCGGTTTTCATAATTATTTTATATATATAATTATAGCTATTATAGTAAAAGGCGTCTTGTATATTTAGGAAGATTTTATAGTTTGGGATGTCTCGCTACCGGTATTGAACAAACACAAATATTGCTAGCTCTTTGTTAGAGTCGTTGATACGGAAGCCTTGCAGATGAAAAAATATTGGCGTTGTTTATAAGGAAGGCGCATTTCGATTAGAACGTGCCAACAAAGGGACTCTTTAAAATGATGTATAAAGAGCATTACTAAACTTTGTTAGTGAATGCACAAACAGTCTTTTAATATTTGAGCCATAGCCAAAGGCTCTTTAAATCATGCATCACGCGTAATATTGCAAATATAGCTACGACAGATTAGTGCATGTGAACATCGTAAATATACATTGAACTGCAAATGGTAATGTCAGCAAATAGGGTTGTCCACCTTAATTTAATTTACTGTCGGTCTAAATAACCTGTTTGGAGCATGTTCACACAACTCCTGTATGCAGTCCGCCAAGTTTACTTAATGTTGAGAATAGAGTTGAATTCAGCCTACACCCCCCTATATATGCATGCAGTCTTTCTTTTCTCATTGCATACTCTCAATATCTAGCATTGAATCCTGCACTAGTTCATTTTACAGTTCAACATTTTGAAGGAACGGGCAACAGAAAGCATGGCATTTTCTTGTTTTTGTTAATGATATTGAATTCTTGCATGAAAGGTTTGACACTCAAGTGTTTAATCCCATATAGAGATTGTTATTCTTGTCTAAGTTGTTCGCATAATGCGTGTGAGCTTTGATATTGTTCAACTGAGCAATTTTCCGGATCTGTACGCATCCACCATGCAATTTAACCGTTAATATGCAAAGCTAGCTCAGTCTGTTTATATTTTTAGATTCTACTCATTCTAGAACTTTGATTTAATCATGAGTCATTGTAAAATTTAGCTGAAAGATGCTCGATATTCGAAGCCTGGTTTTCTCGTCCGAGAAGACGCTAAAATACTGAATTCTCAAGTCTCAACCTGATACAACTTGCAAAATAATGTCATAGCATTCAGATGTAATGCCCTACATCAGTGTTTGAGTTTCAAAGTCTATAGTCGCCCAGTATATCCATCAAGTAATATTTTACCTTTTTGGGATGTTTAGAAGATGTTTCATGTGCGCCTTATTGGCGCAATAGGCCTAGATGATGATGATGATGAGAAGATGTTTAATGTGTAAATTTTATGGATAATTGATAACATTTCGCCAGAATATATTGAACAGAATTTCGCCATGATATAGGACTGAAAAGATGGTCGTTAAAGTCGACAAAAACTCTAAAACACGCGAAAGAGATGAAGAATGATAAACAAAATTCTTGCAGTATATAATGAAGATCATATAAATATAAAAGCAGACATGACGATATTGACATGTTTATAGTGCGATTCCTGAATATAAAGTCTTCTAAACTTATATATAGGTAGCGTTTAATTGATGGTTAAAATATATGCTTTAGTTTGCGTGTTTTGTCAATTAATTAAGTCAGCCCCTGTGATGTTTCGATTCATGGCATGCACATATCGTGCGAAACAGCCAAACAGACTGCCATTAGCAGATATTGGGATTTTATGAATCGCGATAAAACTCCTCACCCACACTGACACATGTCTATCATAATCCCGTTTACAGTACGTTCGTGCAATTTATTGGCACCGCACGGCTAAAATTGGTACCCGTACTCAGATTTATTGCAGCACGGATGAACTTGCTTCGGGTACCCATTTTAGCCGGGCCGTGCCGGGCCGATAATTTGAGTTTAGTCTAAACATAGCCTGAAATACGCACACTTCAATCGTTCTCACAGCTGCATGTATAGAATATATAATAAACATACTGCAGCAGATGGGGGTTTGGAATAAAGTTAATGCTATACGAGCAATGATAAGGTTTGGTAACTTTGGTTTTCTAGATTATGGATCAAAATAGCATAGAGTATATGTGGTTCAGTTCTAACGATCCTTATAATACCGATAACGATACAAAATCGTGTGTGAATCAAAAGTAGCTAAAATGGCATCATGCAGATAGAAACTAATAAATTGTTGACGGCCTTCGCCGTCCCTAGTTCGAAACGTCGAGAATATTTTTCCTATTTTAGGCAGTTGTTATACCACACTAGTCTTATTATAAATTATTTAGTCTGCCAAACATTTTCATTGGCCAATTTCAACCGCGATAGTGTGGCTAAATCTTAAAACTGGAGAAACAAAATTAATAAATGATTAAAATGAATACAGGAATAATGTTATTAAATGAATTTCCAGTGATTGCATTATTCAGTTGTCAACAAGTAACGTGTCATCTACCTTTTGTTCTAATTAACACGTCCTTTTTTGTTCTCTGAGGTTGTGGGTTTTGTGAATAAATCAACTTGACAGAGTAAGCTCTAAAAAGATCAGTCTTACGATCAAGATAACGATCCATAAACGCATACTGGGGTTGGGTGCCAACACTCCTATAATTGTCTTCCTAACAAACAATCACCTAAATGTTCGTGGGTAAAAACATATGATTTCTTTGTTAAAAAGCCTAGAAAATTCACATTGATCTTTTAGAGCTTAATACTAATACTGAAACACGTCATTAAAATGCAAGTCACGCTAACGCGTTGCGTAAAAAGTGACATTATTTACCAAGCCTGTTTGCCCTCAAATCTATTTACAAGTAAAACATAAATTATCTTCTGTTCAACATGTGACGTGCTCTTACATCCTCTATCGTTTTTTTCACCTACCATTTTTTTCTTAAAGACGTATATTTTACATAATTTGCCATGCAGTATGTATGTAAATTTTAATCGAATGTAAGTATAAGACAATTCATACCAAAAATATAGACTCAAACGACGTGCTTACGAACACCTTGACGGTTCATATATGACTCACATATAAGAGTTTATCTCCTGGTCATCCCATCATTTGGCTACTTCAAATATGACTCATCGTGATGCAAGCTCTTCAGTTCTTGCAAAACGACTTGAAGTATCCATGACTATATGAAGGATGTCAAAATAACTATAAAAAACTCGATATTTTCCTAGCTGTAAGAAATGAATATATACTAATGTCAACAATTCATGAAGTTATGGAATTTCAGTGCTTACAACTCTAGATTAGTATATTAATTATATGTAGGCTTTTGTTGCGATCGGAGCACACGAGGAAAGCTAATTGAAAGTTGTCCCAGCTATTTATGGCACAAAAATTTTGCTGTGCATTTACTTTCTTTAGAAAGTAATGTCAGTTATACGGCCATGTTTGCAAATATGACTTAGAATAAGTTTCATTTATTCAATATCAGTATAAGCACATTCATTCGGTGAAACATATAAGGCTTATAGATACACACTATTATGATTTTTGGTACTGCACTAGATGCAGGTAAGTTCTAGAAGTTCAAAGAGTCTTAATTTCGAGTGGAATTATACACACTTCAAATTCAAGCCTGGCAAGAGCATTGCACCGGAATCGCGAAAGCGCATGTTCGATTAGTGCCGCGGAGGACCGATAGTTGACTCATTTTTCCGTCAACTGTTCCTGGCTTGAATTTGAAGTGTGTATAACTGCACTCGAAATTAAGACCCTTCTAGAATTTACGTATACCGGCTAAGGTATAGTTGCACAGTTATATAATTCAAAGGTGATAAAAATATTTACTGCATAGTGGTTGTGATTTACCCGGAGCTCATTAATTTATTAAACGTGTAAATCTTGTTAATTCCCTTAATCCTGCGATTCCTGCGTCTTAATCGTAAGGGAGATAATAAAACCGTATAGTCAACTGCGTCCTGTTGAAAAAGAGGGAATTGTCAATTTAAGGCAAACATAAGTTCGCAGCAAATTTGAATATGAAAGGCATTTAGTTGTTTTTTTTTGCCCTGTGCATGCATATACACTGTTCATTGTTTGATTAATCAAAACACAACTAAAAAGCTAGCGAATTATACGAATCATACAAAGCAATTAAGATCTGATGCGCTTACACCTCGAAAGTTCAGCCGATTCAATTTGATTCTATGAGCACAAGCCAATTTTAAGCAAATGAAAAATAGTGTGGTGCCAGTTGTGGTACTTCTTTTGTCATGTGAGCATGCATAGACAATTTATCTTCACTGTACAAAGGCATGCAGCCCATCACGTTTTTTTTCTGTTTATCGTAGGTAAAAAATAATTATGGGCCATTACATGTTTATTATGCCTGTCTCTTTCTTTTATCAATCGTTTGACGTAAAATAAATGAATTTACAGTTATCTCAGATCCATCCTCTTTTTCTTTGGGTTCGCCAAAAATCGTGAATGCCTATCCTAAGTGAAGATAATTATCTATAAGCATTTGTTTCAGCTCATTTGCACAATATTACAGTATCGTCAGGCATATATGATGCCAATGATTTCACACGATACGACATCAAGTGGAACTTTAAAATAAACTGCACTACAGTATAGAGGCCTTGAATGCCAGGCCGTGCGCAAAAGAATTATAAGAATATAAGAAAAATATTCCCAAGCCCTGTTGCCCACACCAAAGAACACTCCACAGCAAATTCTTATGACAGGATATAATTTTCAACTTGTCTATACGGATCTTAATGAAGGATATGAAGTAAATGAGTGTTAATTACGGCTACTTCAATGATCAAAATACGATTGATATTGTGCTAGCACTGCCGATATTGTACAAAACGTAATTCTAAGACATGAACTATAACACCAACACCATGCATAAGTCTATAAATTACATTGAAATCGTTGTATGATTAATCTACTACTCAAGAAACCAGGGCGGGTAGGGTCGATTCACACATTTAGGATTACTATGCTCCAACACAAAAAATTAATTATTCATACCTATATAGCCGCTCTGCCAAAAAAACTTATTATGCATGTAATACTATAGGTACTACGAACTGCACCTCACGTCTTTAGCAATATTTCATCTCATTTTGACGACAAAACACGGTAATTCACATGCTATATTATACATGCGCCTAAAATAAATGTTTGAGTTATCTGACAAACAAAGGCAAAATTACTATACTTTAACACCTACGTTTGAAATGTGTGTGTAAGATTAGTGTTGAAATCATCACGTTCGTGTAGAATATCATGCAGGTTTATGCAAGTTTTATGGGCATTAATGCCCTCGATGACAGCAAAGATATCCGGGTTTTGTTTCAAGATGCTCTTGATAACGAATAATCAAATTATGATATATAGCAAACAGTTAGTTCCTCATTTTTTTCTAATGAATATGCATAATAACGGCATAATTTGTTTAAAATACCGAGACAAAAGCCGTTGGGGTTATTCAGAGCTGGCTGCCGTGGTGGAAAGAACTCAGTTGCAAGAACTCAATTGCTACATTTCAACAAATTAGAATTACACATTATTAAACCAAGAACTAAAAGAGTAAGTGTGAATTTGATTAGTGCATGCCTGTTATGCTAGATTGCATCCCTAGTTTAAAGTTGTTTGCCGTTAAATTTCAAACATTGCCAATGCTCGCCGAAAGCTCGATGCAATATGCCCGAAGTTTAAATGTTTGGCGTCCATAAATTTAAATAAGGAAGGAAAATGTTAGCACAATAGATTTTAAATGAGCGGCCTATTATTATTATTGAGTTAACAAATTAACATGCAATAAGATGCCCGTGTATTATAGTAAATGCAAATTATAGGTTATTTAACTGTTTAATTTTTGTTTCAGACGCTATCAAGGCATCAAAATTTTTTAATATATATATTGAAATGTGCACATTGCGGGTAAAGCGATCTAAAACTCCTTTATTTTACTTTAATTTTAAAGTTAAACCACACCACCAGTAATTGAAATATTACACCTCTATGACTATGTTTTTTTTATGAAAAATCTCTTGCCTGGGTGAACCAGTGCCAGTACTTATGCACACATATATTAATATTGCACTAGACAGAGTCTCGAAATCCTGTAATTTTATTCTACATGTCCGGCTGCTAATTTTTTTGAAATAAGACTCTCGTGCAGAATTGGTCTACCTCTTAAGACAGTGCTATTTTTCATATATATTACGCTTTTGTTTGACATTCGTTAGAAAACCGGAATTGCAACTTAGTAATGCTACCGTTGACTTAATGATTCGAAACGTCACCATTTGAATATATATATATAGGTTTTAACATACATAAGTGCGATTTAACCCGAATTCTATTGGTGCGGTATAATAAGCTTCCTAATTCTACCGGAGTATAATTACGTGGTGTGAACATCATTTGGACAACGCCGCAAATTATAATCCATATGTTCAATAACAAAGCAAGTGAGCTATACCAAACATTGCGTGTTCATGAAAGTCACTACTTACGAACAACTGATATCAGTCACGACATATACGACGATTACTGTGGATCCAATACCTTTCCTCTTGAGAAAATTACCTCCCCCATACTTTCTAATTCAACATAATGCAGCATTATAACACTTGGATTAATTTTTTTCATTTTACCCACGACCTAAATGCTAAATGAAATATATATGTGATAAGAACGGATTAGTGGGTAAACATCTCTTATTGTCTGGATAATGCAGGTCGGCTTGCTTTTTAAGCTGCTTCGAGGTCGGTAAGTCCAAGGCTGAAAAATTACTAGTAACTACAGACATAGTAACGCCTACACAATAAATGAATAAAATACTTTAGATTGTATAGAATACAGAATTTGTATATAGACATCGCCCATGCATCTTTTATAACGGCACCGAATTATATACATTAAAAATATATTTGTTTTATAATATACCATGTACGTCCTATATGAAGCTTTTGTATATCAGAAATCACTTAGCATGCGTGACTGTTCATTGCATAAATTACTGTAGCAAAGAGTATCAATGTATCATGCCTGCGTATACGTTTTGGCAAAAGGCAAGTGAACTGTTTGAGCGCATATCTATGGCACAAAATTGCAATGACGGCCATTAGGGATTTTATCTCAAACTATATATGTAACTATACAATTATCTCAGCTTGTGCATGTACACACGGATACAATGATGCTTTGTTACAGAGCTTAAATATTTATACCGATGCTATAGCCTCTCTACGATCAAGTGTTGTTACCTGTAAAAAAATATAAAATGAAAATAATCTTCGGCATCCCTGCAGCTGGTCGTTTAATTTTAATTTGAAATCCATAGCGGACGATGAATGTTTAATTTATGCGCAGTTGGCCTCTCAGAGTCTATAGAAAGAGTTACTTGTTAACTTAAACAAACACAGTTATATTGGGCTCAGAAATTAATTCAAATTTTTATTTCAAATATACAACGGAAAGTGTGGTTTATCAAATCCGTGTGGCCTTGATCTCTGCGTGATCTCTGTTATAGAAGACCATAGCATATATATATATATATATATACTTCACCTTAATTACCATGCAGTGATAGTTAGAACTCAGGTAAGCAGGCCCGATTACATAAATTTTTATATGTAACAACTTTCTAATTAAGTCTTACACAACGTTGCATTGCCGGGCATATAGACTTGTTTTACTTAAAGATTTTACATTTGAAAAATTCATTTTGCCGTTCATTTTGATATACAGTATAGCTATCTGATTCTGTAACTTTAGGCTAAAATAAAAAGATACTTTAGTGCATGTCCACGGGATATTCTGGCCGGGGTTGTTTAGAAGTTAAAGGTCGATACAGAACTAACATTTAACCCTTTGCCTATAATAATAGCAAGTTTATCAGTGGTTAAACTGACTAAAAACCTCTCAATGCCACATGCCTCCCATGCATGCAAGCATGTATAATGTATTCCGACGATGATCCCGTAGTGTAGGTTCGAAATGTCTTTATAAAATTTCAAATCATTTTGAGGGTCACGGGTTAGTAATAGTTCATCATTAAGACCAACCCACCTTACCCATGCACATGCAATCACACAGCGATATTCGACTTGACCAGCTGCGTGATAACGCTGTGACCTGTGGCTAAAGAATTTTCCGGCAACGCTTAATTGTCTTCACACTATACCTATAGCTGCATGCATGTGATTTAATTTTCCAGTCGACTTGTTGGCCCATGACGACGACTCTCCCGAGACCACGAGATGATTGCGTACAGTGTATCTCTATAATGAGAATTGTGGCATAAGATGTCACAATATAGCCGAATTTGCGCTTGGCGTCTTAGTTTGATCACTGATTGGTAGCATATATATAAATTAAGCAATCGCCCCAGAAATGTTGCAATACATTATAGAGGATCGCTGATCGGCACAATTACGTGCACTGCAAAGTTATATAGAATTTGTATACATATATAGGCCTAAAGAGAACTATTTCGATAATAATGCGCAAATTGAAAGTGTATGAAAGAAAAGCAAATATAATGAGGGCAATAAATTATATAGCTAGATTCTTAACACGTTCTGGAGAGTGACCTTTTGTACATGCAGTGCGATAGAATTAATGATCCGACATGCAGACATTATCGTGTTTTGAGAAAGCAATTAAATGGGTATTTGATTCTTCCTTATGCTCTTGATTATTTTTACCAATATACCCATGTTATTTGATTACTACTGAAAAAGTCGATAGTCTTCAAGGCTCAACACTAACACCAACTGGTTACATCATGTCACCGAAAATAGACGATCGATAAAAATTTGAGATAGTTGAACAATTAAACTGCATGCATGATTCCTATTCTTTGACATGACTTAATACCTTTTTTTAACCGCACCACATGCTTCATTCAATATAATGTTTGAGAGGCGTTTAATCCATGAAAGATGTATGGGCAAAATTAAGAGAAAATTCCAGAAATCTTTATGAAAACCGCACAATTTAAGACAAATCATTGTAAAAAGATTTCGGTGAAATATCAAATTCTTTGTAATTACATTGTGTTCCAAGCTTTGTGTTTATAATCACAAAACGAAGGTAAAATACTACAGCTAAAATATATTTTTTAATTGAAATTAACTTTTCGGCAAACTCGGATTTTGGCTTGTCCTTTATCAAGGAAGATGATGTCGAGGAAACACGTATTTCTTTGTATAGTTTTTTCTGTTGTAAAAATCAATAATCGGTCTAATATATATATAGATGTCATGATAAATGAGTTTGCCATTAGCAGGTGAAATTTATCTTTAAAAAAATATTACTAACAAATAGAAAAAAACACATCAGGCTGAGAGCTCATGCATATAAAAGCTTGCATCATCCATGGGATCCCAAAATAAGCAAATATTTTGAAATCGTCAGTTTAGAAGACACACAATACAAGGTAAGAAGTTAGGTGAGTTATTCACTACATCGCAGTATTACTATTCAACCATGCAAAAAAATGCAAGGAGTTTATGCACATACTGACAATTCGACGTAGTTTAGTATAATTAAGACGTATCTATATAGTATAAAAAATCTATTGTGCATGCTATTAAAGCGGTCATATTTTTCCCATGCCGGATAAAACTTTCGAAAAAAGACTCGTTATAAAGCCCTACAAGAAGCCTATCAGTTGTAGTAAGTTGGGTTCAACATTCAGTAAAATCATGTAATTATTGGAGATTATATATACGGCCGTGTATAGTGATTAGTAAAAAATTGATGAAAAAGTGACGTGACGTAGCTATACGTATATAATACATAATGTGCTTGCTTCAATAATGTGCTTTAGTTTTCGCCCGAAAGACTAAACTCCGTTTTTTCGTTAAATGCCTTATGTGAAATAGTACATGTATGCATTGAATTGTGACCCGATTTTGAAACTAAAATACTTATATATCGAGTCGGATCTATATACAGGAGATGCATGATGATGCTATATATAAGCTGAAATTCAATTCGACAGGCTATATAAACAGAGATATCTTCCGATATAACTAACAGTTTGTAGCACTCTTTTTTCACTACTTCATTATATTATACAGTAGTTTCAGAACCGCGTTACGGTTCACGGTAGATAATGGTAAGCACGATGAATGCTCCCAGTTGATAACCAAAAGGCAAAACATTTTGGTAGCATAAGAAAATAATATGGAAACTATTTTCACTTTCCCGCTATGTCAACTTATACAAACGTAAAAAACTTATTTATAGATACCTCAACAAAACAAAATCGAACCCCTTTTATTCGTATCCGCATTCGTTTGTATTATCGGAAAACACTTCGTTTTATTCAAAAGTTTACGCTTTCCCGCGTATATATATCTGAATATTTTGCGTTTTATAGGGATCCACACCCACCCGCGCAAACCAAACCATATGAATACTCTAAAATTGTTTAAGAGCATGGGCTATAACAAATGATAGGCCTACGCTGGTTACGTTGTCAGTTGATGCATGTACACGTTGAGTTTTAATTTTCTTGTTCCATTGGCTGTTGACTAATCTAATCGCCAGGTTTTGTTGTGGATAAAGTGGAAAACTGGTTCTGTCGGCAAAAATAGTTTATCGTACCCTCTTTAGCTTTCATGCAATTATGTTTTAATAATTAATATTAAATAATGATTTAAAGCCTCGATCAGTTAGACATTAATGACATCAGCAGTTCTGTTTGTAAGCCATGCGTGCGTGGTCGGTAGTTCCCATGTTATTAACGCATATTTGAAGATGATTTTATCTTAATATGACGGCATGTAATTGAACTTGATTAATTATTTGCAAGAAGCTAGCAAGGATATTAAGAAAAGCGTGGTGCAACGTTGCGTGCATGCCTTATTTCACTTCATTCAGGGGCAGATGACACTTGTATATAAAACAAGAACCGAAATATGAAAATATGAAATTTCATTTAATCCTATATGATGTGGATTATGGTCGTGGTAAATTTCCTATCAACTATGAACTCTATTATGCAATCTATGCATAAGACTCGAAAATTTAAATGGACTTTGTCTGACCATGTAATTATTGGGTGTTCAAAACCTTTTTACAATGTCCGGTCAGCATTTCGTATAGCCCGTCGATATAACATTGTTAAATTATTTGATTCAATCACGTTACGGTGAAAAATTCTCAGTATATAAGTATCGTGAAACCAAACTGTAAATGAACTTTAGTGCTAGCTTGGTGTTTATTGAAAGAAACATATTTACCCTATTGATATAAGTCTGGATTATTCATGTCGTAGGCCAAATGGATTAAAGACAGTAAAAAATTAAACACGTTAGAAATTTTGACTTCATTATTTAGGATATATATAGTTCAATACAACATGGTTTATATAGTCATACATTTTTTCAATTCGTATCATCATAGAGTAAACAGTATATAAATATATTTCGATATTGCCTACATATAGCGTGTCAATCAGCAAACTCCATGCATGCGTATATCTTCTTTAAATTTATTGGGTTATGTGACCAAATTTTACTTTAAAATTAATATATAGCTAGTGTACTGTTTTGATAGACTTTTTCACTCACTCGGATATATAATTTTCTGCAATATATTGTTGTTTAAGGGAATTGCTTGTTAAACAAGGCCCAAGGAAAATGAATGCATGTGCAAACAATACCTATAAATAAATCATTTGTCAATTCTAAGTCAATAACAACTGTGTTTGCTAAACTATTTCACACTAAAAGTGCCAATTCGCAGTCAATCTTTTTATTAATTGACCCATTATTGAAAGAAACATCGTCATGCATGCAAAAAGCTAAATTGCTAGATTGTGGTAATGCATGGCCAGAAATTGCGGACATCGAATATGCAGATTGCCGTAGCAAATTTGCATATCTGTTCAAATATTATTCGTTTGCAGAACTATAAATTATATTGCGCATTCTTAAATTTCGCAAAATTTAAGAAAATCATTGCATCTTTGCAATTTGCCCTGGTTGTTTCTTGTAATTCGTGTCATATTAAAGATCCTGAGGTAATATTTTGCTGGTAAAGGTTTATGTTGGCTCTGCATTTTTATTTTATTTCTATACGCTATTACGGTTTTTGTTTTATATGGTATTCAACGTGATAAATAATCAAACTTTTTTTTGAAAATGCAGGACGAATACTGATAAAATATTTTGAAATACTATATAAAAATATTAAGATTAACTTGCTCTGCAACGAGTAATTAAGGCAAATTATAATTGACCTACCTAAAGGTGTATTTTTAGCGTTTAGTACTGTGCACATTACAGTTTACTATAAACTCACGAAGCTTTATTTTGACACCATATGCAAATTTAGGCGGAAGTAGAATGTTAATTATGTCCGAATTTTCTGGCCATGGACCAAAAAAGCCGGGTTTGGGGCAACTTCTGACATTTCGAATTATAGTTTATATTTATGACTGAAAGTTATCCACATAATAATTATTATAGTCAGAGCTAGGTCTTACTATTAAAGTTTGCAAAATAATACGATTTTTTCTTTGTATTAGGAAACTATAGTAACGTTATTGATTAAGGGTGACAACAATCAGTCAAAAACCATCAGTTTATTATTTACACATGCAGTACGAGGTACTATTTGCATCAAGATGACGTGTTTGCATGTCTTACGTAGCCTGTCCAATTTTAGGGACCGCTGCAATGCAGGCTATAGTCTTACGTAGGCTCTATGGCAATGAACTCTATATATAGAGTTCACTGGGCTCTAGTATTTAATCTTGCCAACAAGGGAGAAGACTTTAAAGAGACTGATATATCGGAATGATATCCACATACGAGCGATGTTGAAGACATGGCGTATAGCAATTTCAATCGCAACACAGTGTTGACTGCATTAGAGTTGTCAACGGTCAACCTTGAAGATCCATAAATCATCTGATCGAAATATTTTTGTTCATTTTTCAGGAGATATGGCTGTAAATACACTGATCGCTTTTGCAACAATTCTCTTGATCATCGTCGTGTCAGAAAGCGGCCAAAATGAACAAAATAAGCCAGGTCCATTGTACAAGTTGTGTGGCGACGATTTTCTCCATGCATTTGATAAATGCTGCAATCATGATTTAGCGACATGTCGTAGTTCGGTTGTGAGCAGTTCAGAGGGGGTCGTTGAAGCGCTGGATAAAAGAGGTGGGTGATTCGAGTGCATGGGCATGCTCAAAATTTGTCATAGTTCGATTCGGTCTTATTCGCAAGAGAAGAGGTGGGTGATTGAAGTAAAACATAAGTGATGTATAGGAGAGAATAAACAGCTCGCCTTAGGGACACGTAAAAGGACGACCACAAACGGGTCACGTACGTTTTAAAAAAGACGTAGAATTGGGATTTTTGGAGCAGTCATAAATTTGGCCGGAGTTACGCTTCCTGCACTATATCATGCACTAAAGCTATGTATCGATCAGTGACTTCGTGTATCTAGTCACACAGAATACTAAATTCAGAATTCCAATAAAGCTGTATTGATTGATATGGAGACAATCTTTTTCGGGAATTTTAGATAAGGTTTAATTTTGGCGATATTAAACCTGAGTAAAACACTTTGAGAAATTTGGAATAGCGTTGTGCGGACTTCGTGTTATACCGATGCGATGAAGTGTATTAAATTATAGGTTTTTGGTCTTTTTGGAGTTTGGACCGACACGAAAATGATAAAAATTAGGCACAGTTAAGCCCGTTTCCCCTTCATCATGCTGACGAAAAATTGTGCAGAACAAATCAACTTCTCTTGGTGTCTATTTGGCAATTTAGTTTCCTTAATTTATATTTAGTTTAGTTGTTTAGTGATATTTAAAAAAGAAGTGTGTACTTTTTACCGACAGCATATTGTGATTTACAATGGGGAAAAAATGATAAACTGGAAGCGGAAACTCATTGCAAGAAATTTTCCCATGCACCTCATTTTGACAAACTCCTATAATTTATAATTAATTATTTCATTAACAGGCCATCCTATGATACCATCAAGGGTTGCCAAAAATTTCATTAGGTCGCTACGAAAACGAGGATGGGGAGAAACTAGTGGACCAGTACTTAACCATGCAGTTGAAGAATGTTGCAATGAAGGATGTTCCATTGATGAAATTCGAGAGTATCCATGCTTTTGATAGAGATCATTATACAGAGAACTTTAGATTTTCGTAGAAAATAGTATATTTTTGAATAGTTCCCTTATAGAGGGATCTTGGAGTATCCAATTACAAATTGAATAATAGTTTGGTCGGTTTTATTTAAATAAGCTAGGTCCGTGATTCTCTACTTCACTCTTTTCCTTGGCTGCAAACTCGATAAGATCAGTGATGATTATCGATGATTAGTTTATTTTAGTTCTGTTAACATTCGGTCAAAGAATATTAGTAGTTCTAGTGTCTATTTTCCAGCAAAAAGAAACGATAATATTAATACTATTCATCGAGGGCAGCTGAAAAAGTGAAGTGGAAAATTCCGAATTATAAGAGTTGCAATACTTTGCGAGTATTACGAATTGAGTTCAGCTTAGCACATAACATACGTTTTAATGCATATACTTGCTTTCTAGTTCAAACGTATTCAAATTGAGAAGGAGTGGGTTTATGAAGTCCGCTCCAATGACAGTAATCTGTGCGGAGATTGGCAAGTGTTACTATTATCACTAGATAGAGGAATATATTTGAAGATGTAGTACAAAATTAAATGATATATGCTCAAATCCAGCTATACAGTATTTATATTAGGTTCATACATAGTTGACAGGACTGTCACGAATAGACTTTTCCAGCTATATACGTAAGACCTATATAAATGAGGTGTATAAATGGGATATACTTTTCTTTCTCGGGTTATGCTATATATATTATCGCTATGGCTATGCCGTGCAAGGAATCAAAACATCCATCTCGAAAACATGCATGCATTTTTTCAGACGAAAATATAAATGTAAAAACGAAAAGGGAGGCTCAAGGACCCAGGATATCGAGACTCGTTTTTGTGATGAACTTAACGCCAAAATAATCATGTGTTGATAAGAAGGATATATTTCATCTTTGCATATGTGCATTGTGACAGCAAAGCTAGTTCATTTCAAACATTCAGTTCATTTAGGGTAATCCCAAGTCACTTCCAAGTGCTTCTGGACCAAAACGAGCTAAGAAAACTCCTTGCGTCCAATGCAACATGCTTTTACTGCTGTTTGCAAGCTACCATGAGACGTGCTAAATTTTTCATGTTAGTTTACGTTTCAAAACTTCGGGTTTGACCGGAAATCGTTGACGTTTTTAAATAGACCAATCAACGTTTGACCTTGAAACGAACAACGTTTCGCAAGGCTTTGCGAGCACGTTTCGCCTTTTGGAATTTGGAGAGCACATAATACAGTAATATATTTGAGCAAAAAAATGAATATTCAAATAAAAATACTATACGGTCCTAGCTACGACAGATGTAAGACAACGATTATTTCTAAACATGCGTTCGCATCGATGACATTAGACGAATTATCAAATATGGTTTCTGGAGCAGTTGGTGGGTTTTTTGACGGAGAAGACAAGCTTCGTTTACAATATCGCGACGATGAAGGTACATACGTTACTATGAATAAACAGTCTGATATTAGCGATGCTGCTCAATCATCCTCGCCAATCCCTCAAAATGATGAACTTTTACGTGTCTGTATTCGAGTTGACAACGATTTTACGCCCACCAGTCATCACCGTGAGGCTCCTGCCAAGAAACGCCAATGTAGCTCAAACGACTCTAAAAGAAAACTAAACTTTACGAAACCTCTTAGTACATCGCCTGATCCAGATCTCCTAGAACTGTTAGATATACAGAGTGAACCAAGAACCGGCAATAAGGAACTATTGTCATCCGATAAAGATTTTTGTATTAACAGGAAGTTTGATAGTCCATTGGAAAGATATTTGAAGAAAATGGAGTCCGACTTGGAAAGCAAAAAGTCAAGGCTTCGAGAACTCGAAACCGAAGACGAAGTAACCCAAAATAAGATTTCTCTGGCAAGATCTAATATTGGCGATGGGAATATGTGCCGTAATTGTCATCTTCGGCTTGGCCACACAGCGCGTTGTTGTACGTATGGAAAATGCGAGTCAGTTTTTAGCTGCGGCGAGCAAAAATTGCACCCTGGCGAACTCAATACTAAACAATTGCGTTCCAACATACAAAAACTTAAACATGAAATCATTACTCTTGAGAGAAACATTGCACAACAACAAGATGCATCTAATGAAATAAAGAAAACACTTGCAAACAAAATAGAGGAAAGCCTCTTGCAGGAAGACGAAGATAAATACTTTAGCAATGGCCACAAAAATTGGTGTCTTTTACGGAGACATGTTTACCTCGTCGAAGATTATTGCAAAAAGAACTTCGGTGGTAAAATACCCCCGAAGCACAAGCTGTCAGAAATTTTGAGTACGATATTGAATCAAAAACCAGCAAGCGCAACATCAAGCTCTATGGTCATAAAACAAACAAAATCCAAAGGAAGTAATCCCACAAAGCCACTTCTCGAAACATACGGTGTTAATTTCCCGTCTGAACCGAGGTCTGAACGTTGCAGTTCGATTTTTCGAAGTACACCAAGCAACGAAGACGAAGAACAAGAACAGCTTAGTATGGTGATGAAGCAAAGTATGCTTGACACTAGTTCTAAATCTAAATCTTCATTCGAGCCCCATCCGACGGTCATTTATCAACCAGTTTACCCGCCATCTTTCGCACGCTTTCCCGCGTTACCCACTAATGTTTATAACCCTTTTGCACAAAATGCAGAACAATATTTGTCCAGCTATGCCCAAACTAGCACAGCTATACCCATGTCTTTTCCTGACGCTACTGCACAGATGCCAACAGCCGTACCTATGCTACCAATGGCAATGCATACGCAAACAAAGCCTGACGAAGACAAGGACGAACCCCAAGTGCAGCCAGAACAGACGATTGAAAGGGATGATAACGAAACAGCCGAGCTATTGCTGTCCTTTAGTAAAAACTCTTTTACTGGTTATCAAGCGTAGCGACAAATGTACACAAGAAGTAGCTAAAACGTAATGTAATGTCTAATGAACTTGTTTTGTTTAGATTTAAAACATTCAGGGTTTTAATAGCATGGATGATAAAATCACAATAATAATCTTTTAACTATCCATGTTAATAGTTAATATAATTGCGTTGACGTTGTTTATTATGTTACTCACAAACTAGTTTTGAGACGTTTTGAGAGTTAAATTTAAATTTTTCATTACAGTATATTACATACTGTAATTAGTGTAACATGCACTTGAAATATATTTTATATATTATTTGGGTTCGTTGTCGATTTCAGATTAGTTTTCAATTTCGTTGACTACAAAAGTTAGAAACACAACTCTCTCACCAATTTTTCACGTTTCCACGTAGTTGACATAAAAGTTCACGAACTGAAGAAAACTAACTAATTTAGATTTTAGTAATTGTGAACTTGACAAGTAAGTTTCATTGTGGGAACATGTACGAAGTAGCCTGGTAGTAACCCACCATGTCTGTTGGGGTTATTGTTTCAACAGCATCCATGACGGCAAGTTTAAGGTTTTCATGTACAGTATCGGAAAATTCTCCGTTCAATTTCGTTTTTACCTTAGCGAAACATAGTTCAACAGGATTTAGGTCAGGGGAGTAAGTGGGGGTGAATATGAGCTCCACTCCCATTTCTTCAAGATATTCCTCCAAAATACGACCGCCGTCATAATGATGAATTCCCAAATTGTCCATAACAATGATATCTCCAACTTCAATGGCGGGACGTTCCGACATCAAGTTAGTAGCTTCGGAAGCTTCCGCAAAGAAATTAAGAAACTGAATAGTATTTGTTGGGCCCTCAACCAAATTAAAGTACATCGGTCCATCTAATGATACGAGTAAGTTTAAAGTAATGTTTGGGGATTCCATTTTTCTAATTACTTCGACGCATCGTTGTCCTAAAGGCGCGTGGCCGTAACGACGAGTGCCAATGTCTGGGGTTTTCACTCCTGATTCATCGAAAAACTTGATTTTTTTTGGATCTTTCGATGAGAGATAATTAACAAACAACTGTGTATATAACATGTTTTCCGGAGTGAAACGCTCTCTTGCAACATGTGTAATACGTTTTCGGAGTAACTATGCCCTGACAAAAGTTTTCTTTTTATTGCTCGCGAAATTGAAGATAGAGAAATGTCGCCTCCAACGTCACCAAGTTCATCCAAAACGGAGTAAAGTTCTCGTAGGGAAATCGACCCTCGTATCTTCGTAAGAGTCTCGATTAATTCTAGATCTCCTGGTGTCAATTTGCTGCTAAAATCTCCACCGCGTTGAATGGGATCTTCTGAATTACTTTCGCAAAACCGTCGCCAAATTTTTGAAACTGTGTTTGGACTTAGTTTCAACTCGTGTGCGATAGCAGTAAACGAGGTTGAAAGAAACCCCGAAATCCTATCGCCTCCAGCAGCTAGACACCTATCAATAACAAGCCGCCTAAGGTCACCTTCTACAGCTTTTCCATTTCTATAGGATCTGCCATACTTGCTAACTTGATACATACCGAACAAAAAGAGGAAGTAGCCAAAGCAACTGTCAAACTAAAAACGCGAAACGTGTTCGTAAAGCCTTGCGAAACGTTGTTCGTTTCAAGGTCAAACGTTGATTGGTCTATTTAAAAACGTCAACGATTTCCGGTCAAACCCGAAGTTTTGAAACGTAAACAAACATAAAAAATTTAGCACGTCTCATGGTAGCTTGCAAACAGCAGTAATACCATTTTACATCTATACTGTATTTTATATCTATACTGTAGCTATAGCACATCTCCATCTATGAAGTAATCATCTCCATGAAGTAATCACCGTGCATGGATACGCAATTTAATAGGGCTAATAATCTCAATGATGCAAACATTTATTACAGAAGTCCTTCAGAATAACAATTACCTTGTACCAAAACCTCGTACCCAGGGGTTTTTACCATAGTTCCTCGGCACCCACATTGTCCAACAACAAACTCTTCACACCTAGCCACAACGAAAAATCATAGTTCAAAATATAGTTCAAAATCCATGCTTTCCAGAGATATATAGAACAAATCGTAGAATGGGGATGGAGAATATTGATAGTCCAGCCTAAAAAGGCAGCTTTGAAAGGACCTTCAACATTTGGAGCATACGTCCAATAGAAAGTTTAGATACATTTACCATATCATTGCCACATGCACAAGCCGATCGGGAGTTTAATGATTTTTTCATGCAGGGGCGTAGAAAGCACCCACAGATTTGGGGGCACCAGCTTCCAAGCGCTCGTTTGGTTAATAAATAGGGCCGCTAAGCATATGTATAGGGACAGTTTGATTACAAAAGCTGCAAGGAAACCACAAGTGTGGTATATATTTATACTCTACAAAAAGATTTGGGCACTTGTAAGTGGGCATACGCAGGAAACAAAAAGGGTACCTTCGAATTTAAAATAGTATTTGCAGGTGCTTTAGCTTCTCCAAAAAGACATTTTTCATCACAAAAGGGCAATTTTTGTTCCTTGAAAAATTTGTGGTTCCAATACCCTTTGAGATCTGGAGGTAAAACTTTCTTCTATTGTGGCCAACCAACTCTATACATCAGGGGCCGGTTGTTCGAAAGGTGAATAAGTCGCTATCCAACGGATAAGTCGCTATCCAACGGATAAGTTTTATCCAGCGTGTGATTTGCGTTGCACGAAGCTTGGATAACTTTATCCAGCGGATAAAAATCGCTATCTACCGAATAAATTTATCCAAGGTCCGGAGGTGGTTTAAATCCACTATCCAGTGGATAAATTCAAAGATACAAGGTAACACTGTAAACATTTATATAAAATAGGACAAAAATGCCATATTCCTGTTACTGTGTTCCAACAAACTGATACGCATCATGATTGTATTCACTATTAGAAATGTTTTCGAAGTGCAATTTGTCGCAGCAGCGTTTCACGTAGCCTACACATTCCGTTCCGAGCGGCAATTTTTTGGAGATCCTCGCATTTATAACAGGCGGTAAATTTACTATACGCTTCTAATCAGTTTATAAACGCGAATATGCAAAGAAAGATTCAACCTATTCCAAGGAAACTTGCTAATATCTAAGTAATTTCATTCACGAACATTAAAATAGTGTTCCTAAATTTGCTATGGAACCGAAAGGCAAAGCGTTGCAAGGTCAAGGAATAAAATTGCAATGTGTTTAATTAATAAAATCACTATGATGTGAAGTGCAAAGTTCGAGCAAATCACTTGTTTAAGTCTTTTCCATTCAGTAACTATACTCGAGAATTCGTAATGATTATGAATTCAATGTTGTAAATGCTTAGCAACAGCTGACGTTGTGGTACGAAATTTCAGGATAATCCTGTTTTCTTCTGGTAAATTTTAACTTATCTATTGGATAGCTATCCACTTCACTATCCACGCTTCGTGCAACGCGTTTTTATCCAATGGATAACTATCCACTGGATAGCAGATTTATCCGTTGGATAGGACTTATCCGATGGATAAGTTATCCATCTTTCGAACAACCGGCCCCTGAATAACCCTGAATAACGCACTTTCTCAAGGATTCCACTGGAACATGAGTATCACCCCCCCCCCCCAAGTTCCTAGGTGCCGTGTTTTCATACGATTTGCATAAAATGGAGTTAACAATGCAAACAGTCGCTGACGCCCTTCAATCCTTGATTGTTACCAAAAAGAAAAACGAGCAAACTATACATTGGCTATAACGACCGTTATGCAAAACGGAAAAAATAATTGTCATTTAAGCCTTTTAGGTGCATGCTAATACCAAGCTTACAATATATTTCTATAATAGAAACATGTACTTTGCTCTGTTTACACTACACTCCATTTATTGGCACGGCATGGCTAAAATTGGTACACGTGCCCTGTTTTATTAGTGTTCAAGCTACCAATACAAAGGCCGAACGCGAATGAAATTGGTACGGGTATTTTAGCCATGGGTGTACGCCGCGATATGATTCGAGAGCTGTGGACTGTAGCCTGGAACAATCAATCTTTATAAACGCGTGTGATTGCATGCTATTGCCTGATGACGCTGGTTGAAAATGACAGGCTCATTTGATCAGTATGCATGTGTTGGCGTTTGCCGTAAAAATTTAATACCAGAAGGGCGAAGAGTGCATGTAAGCCGTCGTTTAGGCATATAACGTTTTACGTCAAACGACAAACAGATACTGCCAAGTTGAATTTACTGCTTCGCTGCAGTGACCTTTGCTTGCTTAAGGCCCTGTTACAACTTGCAATGCAATTCTTCTTTTGAGAGATGTAAATTTGGCATCTGCCTAACTTTTTTCTTTATTACGCTCCATGGCGCTCATTACACTTACATTTTAAAGACTCTTCACTAATTTACATCTCTTTAAAGTAGAATTACATTGCAAGTTGCAAGAAAAATTCCATCGTGTAACAGGGCCTTAACATGTAAGCATTGATGCATGCAACAATGCTGAATATCACGAGTTTATGTAGAATTATTTGGCAGGGAGTTTTGCGCGGTTCAGCTTTGAAAATTTAAACTTGATATAATATACCCATTTGATATATACCCTGTTACACAGACTGTACCTGGTAAAACCTATTTCATTTGTTTTCATTGTTCTGCCTAAAGTCAATATTACAAATTTTATATTAAATGCATTTGTATGTTAAGGGTTGAAAAAAGAGCTAAGAGAATTGCCATCAGAAAACAGGACTAGCTTATGCAATTACTGCACTTCTATGACCCCTGACACAAAGCTTTACTTGTAAGTATTTTGAAATTAGTTGCCACGTCAGTGCAAAGTTCCAGATAGTTCCTGCATATTTTAAAGTTTATGTACATGTGAATGTAACGCTAGGTGTTTAAATTCCCAAATCTTTCATAGTACAGAGAAGTAATAGAATGTGAAATTTTACGTTGCAAAGTAGAACTTAATCCTCTTCAATTCATCTGTTAATTCTGAGCTCAAAATGAGAGTGTCACCTGAGTCACAATCATCATCTCGCTATTTGTCTTTTTTTTTCCTTTCATACATTCCTGCCTACTTTTCCTTTCATACTTTCCTTTCATGCATTCCTGCATACATTCATGCATAATACAATGAGCTTTATCTGCGGATCTCGTGTGCAATACGGTATTAAACAAGATGCTAAACTCGACTTCAATGAAGTTTACGGACACTAACTTTCAACAGTAGGAAGGTTAAGATCGACTTCCGCTACGAGTACCGATACCAATAATCAGTCACGCGCATGCGCAGACGTAACAATCGTCCAAAATGTGACAACACTGGAAGTCGCGAGTACCGTTTTGGGGCTGAAAATGGAAGTGGATAGGTAGGCGAAGTACCGAATTATATTTACTGTATTATTGTCATTTTCTGCAGTAGTTTTCTAATAATATTATTTAGTTAGAATATAATGTTTCTGCTTTGTTGGTGAGACTTAAGGATTGTGAGTAGAGTTTTTGATGTGAATACAGCCGCTATACTCCGCCATGTATATTTACTTCTTACGGAAGTCACAATCTTAACGCTTTAAAATTTCCGCGCTGCCAAACTGTAATACGTCATGTATTTTCGTATCGGTACTGGTAGTGGAAGTAGATCTTAACCTCTCTAATAACACAAACACTACGTATGTGCTACCTCAGTTACAGGAGTGAACGCCTGATATAAGCCATTCGAGTTACACGACTTCTTGGGTAAATTTACACCAAACCTGTGTAAAAATACCAATTTTATTCTAGGGCTCAGCTAGTTGCTCAAAAATAGTTGTATAGGAAACTTGTACTTGTATAGGAAATAGTATGTTACCGAATGTGACTTCACTGCGGTTGTAAGATAAACTATGGTGTGGTTTAGTAGATAGCAGTGAACTCAAAAGAACTTGGTAAGTTCTTTTGAGTTCAATGGTAGATAGTAAATGGTAAATGATAAAGGAAGCGCTGTTGAAGTTTTGGCTTTCTTTAGTTAAAGCATTTAGTTAGTTAAAGCATTTATTTCGACACGATTGAAGTTTCAGCATAGCTGATGTGGTCGTGCATGTCCCGATCAGTCTGCTATAGCCGGATGCTTCTCAATAATATTGTCTAAAGTAGTGTATATACATTACCAGAAATTTGTGACTGAAAATGGCTGTCGTTTGTGCGCTCATTTGCATTTAACCCATACCTAATGGCCTTCGAGTTTTACTATAGAATACATTGAGTGAAAATATAAAACGTCGTAACGTCAGAGGCTTGGAGCACTGTTTGTCGACCTCTAGCTGGATAAAACAGCTGTTTAGAAACGTTTTGGTAACCGAATCTGTTACCTTGGGTATTTCTGCAGTCCGCCAAATTTAATTATATTGCCCAAAATTTTGGCCGTGTTCTCTCAACGAACTTATAAAATCGCTCACATTCATACGAACATTTCGAATTGGATTGTTGATGAATTGACGTGTAATATACCAGGAAATTTTGCTAAAGATATTGACTATTGTATTCCTAATATGCATTTTCCTGTACCGTCCGGATTTTTTC